ATATCCAACTCCATCTTTAGATGGTATCTCACAGTTGATATCCAACTCCATCTTTAGATAGTATCTCACAGTTGATATCCAACTCCATCTTTAGATGGTATCTCACAGTTGATATCCAACTCCATCTTTAGATGGTATCTCACAGTTGATATCCAATTCTATCTTTAGATAGTATCTCACAGTTGATATCCAATTCTGTCTTTAGATGATATCTCACAGTTGATATCCTACTCCATCTTTAGATAGTATCTCACAGTTGATATCCAATTCTATCTTTAGATAGTATCTCACAGTTGATATCCAATTCTATCTTTAGATAGTATCTCACAGTTGATATCCAATTCTATCTTTAGATGGTATCTCACAGTTGATATCCAACTCCATCTTTAGATAGTATCTCACAGTTGATATCCAATTCTATCTTTAGATAGTATCTCACAGTTGATATCCAATTCTATCTTTAGATAGTATCTCACAGTTGATATCCAATCTCATTTCTAAAGGCTGGGTATCTGGAGGAACCTCTTGGGTTGGTCTGTTCAGAAGTATTTCAAAATAGTCAGCCCTTCTGTTCATTAATTAAGTCTTTAGTGTTTGTAAAAACCTTTCCTTTATTTTTGCCTGATCCGGTTGGTTGACCATACTAACCCACTAATTTCCTTGTGGTGCTGTAAAGGTCTCTGAGGTTTTCTTTTGCTGCTGCTGTCTTCAAATAGGTCATCTGATATTTCCTTTTGTCTGCCCTTATTCACCTCCTTACTTTCTTGTTATCTTCTTTGTATTTTTCATGAACTCTAGCTCTACTTTTGCTGTGTTTAGGTATGCTTGTGTTTTGCTTTTCCTTTCTTCAGTTTTTTAAAGACTTTCAGGTGTTATCCACACCTTATGTTTCCTTACTCTTTTATCAATGATTTCTGCACAGGATTTATTCCAAATTCCTTTAATTTGTTCCCAGCATACCTCAGTGTCTACCTCCTCAAATAACTGTCTCTCGTTTCCGCTTTTTCTACGAGTGAAGCCCTGTACAGTAAAATAAAACTACTGAAGTAAAAACTTTATTATGGGGTGTTTAAGAGTGTGAGGATTGATTTAATTGCACCAGGTTTTATTTCATACGGGTGAATCTTCCCTGAGCAGCTGGGAGCCAGGAATATCAAACATATCATGAACAACGGGTGAATCTTCCCTGAGCAGCTGGGAGCCAGGAGAATCAAACATATCATGAACAACGGGTGAATCTTCCCTGAGTAGCTGGTAGCCAGGGGAATCAAACATATGAACAACGGATGAATCTTTCCTGAGCAGCTGGTAGCCAGCGGAATCAAACATATCATGAACAATGGGTGAATCTTCCCTGAGCATCTGGTAGCCAGGGGAATCAAACATATCATGAACAATGGGTGAATCTTTCCTGGGCAGCTGGGAGCCAGGGGAATCAAACATATCATGAACAACGGGTGAATCTTCCCTTTGCAGCTGGGAGCCAGGGGAATCAAACATATCATGAACAACGGGTGAATCTTCCCTGAGCAGCTGGTAGCCAGGGGAATCAAACATATCATGAACAGCGGGTGAATCTTCCCTGGGCAGCTGGGAGCCAGGAGAATCAAACATATCATGAACAACTGGTGAATCTTCCCTGAGCAGCTGGTAGCCAGGGGAATCAAACATATCATGAACAACTGGTGAATCTTCCCTGAGCAGCTGGTAGTCAGGGGAATCAAAGATATCATGAACAACGGGTGAATCTTCCCTGAGCAGCTGGTAGCCAGGGGAATCAAACATATCATGAACAACGGGTGAATCTTCCCTGAGCAGCTGGTAGCCAGGGGAATCAAACATAACATGAAAAACGGGTGAATCTTCCCTGAGCAGCTGGGAGCCAGGGAAATCAAACATATCATGAACAACGGGTGAATATTCCCTGAGCAGCTGGTAGCCAGGGGAATCAAACATATCATGAACAACGGGTGAATCTTCCCTGAGCAGCTGGTAGCCAGGGGAATCAAACATATCATGAACAACGGGTGAATCTTCCCTGAGCAGCTGGTAGCCAGCGGAATCAAACATATCTTGAACAACGGGTGAATCTTCCCTGAGCAGCTGGTAGCCAGCGGAATCAAACATATGAACAATGGGTGAATCTTCCCTGAGCAGCTGGTAGCCAGGGGAATCAAACATATCATGAACAACGGGTGAATCTTCCCTGGGCAGCTGGGAGCCAGGGGAATCAAACATATCAATAACAACAGGTGAATCTTCCCTGAGCAGCTGGTAGCCAGGGGAATCAAACATATCTTGAACAACGGGTGAATCTTCCCTGAGCAGCTGGTAGCCAGGGGAATCAAACATATCATGAACTCCTTAGCAGCTGAACCACCTTGCCTTGAAGACCACTATAAGTGGATTCTTCTTCTTCTTCTTCTCTTCCACTTTGTACCTCATCGAAGTGTCAGGGGGAGATATATCATTTGTTGATGAGCTCTGTCAAGAGCACTATTAGGACTGATGTTCATTTCTGTAATGCCATCGCTCCATCTTTTCCGAGGTCTTTCACTCGCGCTATACGCGTTGTAACGTTTTAGTGTGGCTCGCTGTGGCAGATAGTACCAGGGCATTCTTGTTAGGGGTCCAAACCACTTCAATTGTTGTTCTTTAATGACTTGTAAGACTAGCTTTATTTCTAGCCTTTTCGTATTCTGTCTTTCCTTGAAACTCCTGCCGCTTTTCTAAGGCATTTTATCTCTGTTGTCACAATTTTACTTTCATTGGAGGATGTAAGTGTCCACGTTTGGCACTGATAGCATAGTGTTGGCCAAAAAAATAGTTCTGATAAGATTCACTTTAGTACTTCAGGGTATCTGCTTATAAGTGGGTTAACACAGGTTAATTTTTCAAAGACTTGTCGTAGTTAAAATTAACGTTAGAACTGTTGTGTATGGAATCTATGGAGGTTATAGGAAATCAAAACTAGTACTAAACTTAAAATATTTAACTCTGATATCAAATCAGTTTTGCTAAGTGGAGCTGAAACCTGGAGAACAACTAAAATAATTACTAATTCACTACAGATAGAATCACTAATGCTGAGTGTTAGAAAGCTGCTTATAGGCAATGGCAGCTGCATGACAGTGTGTCTTATCTTAAACACAATTAACCCAACACCACTGGAGCTTATACATTGGCCTTTATTACAAAAAGCAGTAGTTAGTTTGCCTCAGATGTGCTTCAAATTATGAACCCTCCCCCACTCTGCTGGAGTGCTTCAGAATCGGCACTCACATATTGGCTTTACGGTTGCTTTAAATAATCTAGGCGTCTGATCCAAGCTCTTTCCTGTGCCTCTGCAGCCTACACTGCAGCCAGCACGGCTCTGGATAGTGTGATCAGACAAACCACTAAAAACATTCATTATCTTGTGCAGAATATAGGGATGGTATGATAAAATCAGCAATACTGAGCTTTGGGAAAGAATTGAGCAGATTCTAGTATGTTATGATGTGAAGAAAGGGCACTGGCATTGGACAGGACACACACTGAGAAAAACTTGAGAACAGTATAACTAGAAAGTATTTGCACTGAACCCACAGGGGCATCAAAATAAGGGCAGACTCAAAAAAAAAAACAGGGAAGGGAGCTATAGAGTGAAGATTGGGAGAACATAACATGAGCTGCATATAGTAGCAAAGTACAGCAAGTTTGTTGAAGGCCTATGCTCCATTGGGGGGATAAAGGTCAGAGGAAGAAAATACTGCAATAGATTGTAAAAGGGCAAAACAAATTGATTAGTGTTCGGTAGCCTATCTTATCCAGAGAACTTTGTGAAATGTGTAAATTATCTCACAGCTAGCAAATCTTATCACAAGTGGCAGTTGCTTAATGGGGTCAGACTCATGCCCCGAGCAGCAGATCTGATAAGAGTAACTACAGCTGCTTAATAGGGTCAAATATTTTCTTCTTCATCTGCATTTGCCCATAAATAGGCAGTTGACACATTGATCATGATTTGCAGGTAAGTTGCGATATCTGCACATTTTGGCAGAACACATCCGATTTCAGCAAACCCTAATTAGTCGTCTTTTGCGACACATCCTTGAGGGCCAGTGGGTATTTTTTTCTCCCAAATATGGAACATCGAAAACTGCACAGGGAATTTTCCTGTCTTGATTGGTGTGGTTGGGATGTCCTAAGTAACTTTGTCATTCATATAGGTTTTTATTTTAATCCTCCTCATAATTGATTTAATGTTACAGTAGAAAAACAAATCACACAATCTTCATAGAATATGAAAACTAAGAAGAAAGTAGACATAGATAGCCAAGATTTATGTTGAATGTTAAATTAAAAATGGACATTACAGCACTCGGGACACCCTGATAAGTGCTCCTTCTCCATCTTCAGCAGCTAGTGAAGAGTTAAAATTCAGATGGTACCAGTAACTGTCTGATTGTATATCCGTCTCGCCTTTTTCCTGAGTGTCAAGCGTGGACTAGACCCCCTTGTAACTCCTTACAGTGCCATTCTCCTCAGACAATAATGATTTATCTGTGCCTCGGCACTGTTCACTCGCTCCCAAAGGTCCCTCACAACATCCAGCTTGTCATACATCAGTTCAACACCAAGTGGTGCAGAACCAGCCACTCTGTCTGCCTGCTTATTTCCCAACACACCGGCATACATGGCAAAAATTTCAAAGGATGCCAACTACCTGGGACCTTTGAAGTAATGCTTGCCACTCTGCACGGAGAATGCCTATCTCCAGCTTTGAGTCAAGATTTATCTGGGCACGTTGTGAAGAGAAACATGATGTTCTTCAAGAGAATAATTCCATGGGTGCAGAGTATGGTGAATATTAATTAACTGTCTTGTTTCTGTGTACTGAAATATATCTAGCAAGTGTAATAAAAACTGTCATTTTTTTGTTTTCCCAGATCTAATTCTATCAAACTTGAGCATTGTTAATTTGAAAGAAAGAAAAACAAGGTGCTGCTATCTTCAGCATGCAGAACTTGTTTATGGCCATTGTGGCTTTGTGCCTGCTGTTGTCCTTAGGTAAGATTTAAACATGAAAATGTAACCATTCGTTAATATTGTATTTGTTACTTAAGGATCATCATCATCATCTTCTCCTCCATTTGGAGTAGGCATTTGTGTTTTTCCACAATGGCTGTCCTTGGTTTGATGACCAATTGGTATTTCTAAGCAACGAGTCTTCATGGCACACTTGTGAAGCTGTTAACTCTGTGCTCTAAAGGTTGTGGGTTTTTTTACATGGATACATCGTTCGTTTCACAAGTGCAATTTTTACAGATTCCTGGAGATTATCAATAGAGCTACAGAGTTTGTAATTTGTGTGACACTCTTGGCAGTCAGCTAGCTGTTCTGTAGCTGGAGACTGAGCTATATGGAATTACAATGGGGCAATTAATTCTTGATCCTCTGGACTTTAATGTTAACTTATAACCTGACCAAAGGATGCTTTTTCTTTCCTACAATTACATATGTTTTACTTTATTTTTTTCCTCAGAATTTTCAAATTTTGTCTCTAGCTTCCTATTTGGGTCCCACATTTACTGATACCCATTTGAGGCTAAATTCATCTGGATCCTAGGTCCCTATGAAGGGGATTAAAGATTCCAAAACATGAGCATTAGGTTGGCAGGCAAGCACGCTGGTCACACCACCACTGTGGCTTCAAAGACCAGTTGTGGGTGGTGTTAATTAATTATGTACAGTTGAAATAAAAATATGTGGTCTAAAGATCAAGTAAATGGTCTTGATCAACTTACAGATAACATGTATTTCCATCTCATTCTGTATGTTGATTGTTTACTGTATAGAGTGACTTTGTTGTGATCATATCTTGTCCTAAAGTTACACTATACTAGTTTTATTTAATGTTAGCAATGTGTGGCGTTTTTTTATGTTCTTCATATTTTGAATACTTTTTTCTCTAATGTATCTTGAAATCACCTAGTCTAAATTTTATTACTGAATGATTGTTGATATTTTATAGTTTTACTTCTTACATTTAGGGAATAGAATTTCAACCATGACATTGTGGTAGCAGTATAATGCTTTCAATTTTAATTACTTCTGTCATTAACTCACAAACAGAAATAGTTATTTAGAGAACAATCTACATTCTGTATAAGAAAGAGTTGTGACAACTGGAAAAATGTAAGGGAAAAAAAAGGGGGGAGGGGGTTGAGTTAAGAACCATCATATCTCTAGAGTTTCCCCCCAAAAATGCTATATTCTCTCCACCTCCCCCGATCTTAAGAAGCCATCACTGAGTCCCAATGCTAATGGTGCCAGTTTCAGTGTCATATGTCCCTCTTAAAGTAACGTTAGTCTCCCCACAGCCCGCCCAGCTCACTTCTGATTGGTAGTTCCTGAACCTGTCACTTTGGCACAAGGTTACAGGGGTGTTCCGCAATGCCCTTATTATCGTGTGTTGTATATTTCAGCACGCCAGCACTTTTAACACTCCAAAAAACATGGAGAAACTAGGCCTAACACACCCCCCTAGGGAGTGCTGCAACCTATGTCACAGGCATTCTCTTTCTCGGAATGAAAACGTGGATGCAAGACAATGCAGAAAGCAAGCAACAAAACGGGACACACCCGTAACCGTCAGGAAGGTCAACCATCCCAACAAACTTGTCAATGAAAAGTGACCTACTCTATTTGGGGAGACTAACGGGAACCTAACCATGTCTCTCTGACATTTTCTCTTAAGGTCTAATGTTAGCCAGAAATTCTCTTCAGCATTCACTTGATTGACAGAGTGTCTGGACTGTTTTCAGTATGCAGAGAAAAAGCCAGTTAGATCTTGTTATCAAGTTTTCCAACTGGCGCTATCAGTGTTGGAAATTTCTATTGGCTACCAAGGAAGGGGACAGAACATAATTAGAAATATTGCAATTTCATTGATGTCAATTTTTGATCGATTCATCTTTATTTTTTTTAGATTTGTTGATTGATTGCAGGTTTCAATTCTTGATTGATTTTGTCCTTGATTTATTGCTTCATTCATTGGTTTCAAGTTTCGATTATTGATTGATTCATTAATTTATTGGTTTACAGGTCATGCAGCATCATTGGTCAAGTCAGATCTGCAGCAGGGGCACTGCTCCTGGGGAGCACAGTACTGGTGCAGCTCACCAGAGACAGCAAGCCTGTGTGGTAAAACAGAGTGGTGTGCCTTGAATGACTGGCCATATGATTTAGTCCAGGTTAATAAACATTGTTTTATGTGTGTATTTGGTTGTTTTTTGAAAAACGAAGACAAGCAATATGTTGTACAATTTCTTGCCTGACAGGGTTGCAGATGTGCTGGACCATACGCTATGTTTTTCTCTCACTCTGCCTTCCCTCTCCCTCCCTCTCCTCTTTCTCTCATCTTTGTCTCTATGTTTATCACAAATGAAAAGTTTAGTGTTCTGTTTGTGTCTGAATGCAGTGCAGGACATACATACAAGAGAGTTGTTAATCAGATAATGTCGGAGGCATGACCTTTCCAACTGTCAGGATCTGAGCACAATAATTTGCTGCTGGCACTTTGTGTGACCCATTTTCAGTAATCACATTATTGGGCACTTGTTAAGGTGTTTGAAGAAGAAGGCACTTGTTATAATTATAATACAGTTTCTGTTTTTACTGCATACATTTGCCATATTTTGGTGTGCTCAGGCACTTAACTCTGCAGCCAGCAGTGTTGAGGTTGGCTACCTTCCCTTCATAAATGTGAAATTAAGTAGCCTGCTAACAACCCATAGAGCACCCAGGTCAGCCCCAATTCCTCGTGGTGCACATTGAGATTTCAGGCCAATAGTGTGGTGGTTTGCCTGGGAGGAGACAGGCACCAACCAGATCAGTTGTTTTCTTGTCCCGCTACATGACGAGCTTAGCAAGCTGGCATTGGTGTAATCAACTGCTACTGCACAAGAAAGAATGAATTATAGGTGGCTTTGTTTTTTACAGCAGAACATCTGAGAAAAAGGTGAGAAGGCTAAAAAAGATACAGATAAATTATGTTGCTGAAACCTGCAAAAAAAAAAAAAAAGAGAAAATCTATCACCCATGCCACAAGAGAACTGCAAGACAAATGCAAAAAAAAACAACAAAAAAACACAACACTGGGCTACTGCTTGGTATCAGTGAAACAACAAAAGAAGAAGAAAAGGTGATGTAAGAGGAGTAGATATCAGGTCCTGAGAATTTAGGGGCTGCTGGTGCAAGTTAGGGTTTACATTTTGCCCCTGACAGAAAAGACCAGTAGACTCATTATTGCTTAAGAAACATTCTTAGGACACACTGGACGAACACACAATTTACATTATTGACATAAAGCTTCATGTATGCAACAAATGTCTGATCTGTGAAAATACTAAGATTGATGTTTAAAATACACATTCCTAGGACTCTTCCTGTACAGCAGTACAAGCAGTCATTAAAAATACCAGGAGTCTGATACAGAAGTCGGCCCAGAAACCTGTAAGTTTTGTGATTGTATGCAGTTCATTTATCATCTGTGTTGTCTTATTTTATACATAGATTAAAGATTATAAGCTACATACAACAGTTTTTTTAAAGGAACAATTTAATGTATATTTGTGTCAAAGACATTTAAGATTGTTATTATTCTTTATAAGAATGTTTAACATTCCTTATACATACACAGTGAGAAACTAACATTTTTGTTGTTGTTGAAACAAGCTAGAGGCAAAGCCAGCTTATCAAACACATCAGAAAGTCACAGTTGTCATTTATTCCTTCGTTATGAAAAGAAAGCCTAAAACATGATACCACTAGAAATTTCCGTCTACGAAGAGGACACTGCATTCTCAACTACCACATGCATAAAATAAAGACTACAATCCCCACAGTGTGCCTGTCAAACAGGACCACAAACACCTGAGCTCATTCTGCAGACCAGATCACTCTACATACAACTTGGAAAAGACACCTGGCCTCAAGAGTAAAGTGTGCAGAGCTAGCTATGAGGAACCATGAAGGACCTGCTACTAACATGCGAGTTAATAAAGGCAACCCACCTAATGGTCTGATCTGAGCATATGAAAAAGAAGAAGATACCACTGGAAAGATTTGTGGAAAGAAAGACAGAGGGAGACCAATAAGAAAAGACTTTTTACAGCCTCTAAGTATGGAAGGGTGTCAGCAGGTGAATGTTTGCATGCCAATAGAGTTTGCAAGATGTGGAGAGGTCCTATCACCTAGACAAAGTAGCAGAGCTAGAGATTTAACACGCTAGTGCTGGGTATAAAAAATGTCTGAGGCCATGAATGTCAGCATCTGCTTAGCACACACCAGTGTGTTCTGGCAGCAGTGTACACACACACACATGCTCTCTCTCTCTCTCTCTCTCTCTCTCTCTCTCTCTCTCTCTCTCTCTCTCTCTCTCTCTCTCTCTCTCTCTCTCTCTCTCTCTCTCTTTACACAGATGCACACATACACTCTTAAATGTGCAAATGTAGTTTGATAGTGAAACCACTCACTTTGACATCTTATATCTACTTTTTCCATCTGTTTTTTTTCATCATCTTCCCACTTCATTTGATCTCTCTCTCTCTCTCTCTCTCTTTGCCTCACATCCCCTTTCTCACTCCTCCTCGTTCTCCCCTCCCATTTTTTCCACACACCAAAACCTGGTGCTGAGAGGCAGAACAGGGCTGGAAAAAAAGAAGCATGATCACCCACTCCAGTCGGCAAGGCATTTTATACTGGTTAATATCTTGTTCCTTTTTTTAAACATGCATCTTGATAATAACTTATTTGTGTGTGCTACAGGTGTCTGAATATGATTTTGCAATGTTCTTGGCTAGAAGCTGCACTTTCTTCATGGATGACAAGGAGAGACACCAGGTATTAATGCCATATTTTTTAGATAATTTTGAAATCCATATTGTTGTTTTTCCCCCCTCATTGAAAAACTTTATTTCATACACTAGAGTTTATTTTATTTTATATATTTTACATTCATTCTAAAAATGTGTTTATGTGTTGTTATTCTGATTAATTTGGTTTCTTATAAATTGTTTAAAGACAGGACTATACACTTGGCCACGGGGAGCAGTGGGCTGAACTCATTTTACTAAACTTTCCTAGCCAGAAGTCACTGACAGTATCAGTGGCCTTAGCATGAAAACCAGAGCCCAAGTTTTCAGTTTTGAACCAAGCCTGCCAAAATGAATAGCCTTCCCAACGTGCATCTCTTTGCAACTTGTCTTGCTTTTATAAAACTATCTACCATATTCTCTTAAAATACCCCCCATGTCTTATAACTAGGGAACGTTTCTATAGCAATCTGCGACAGATACAACTCACTCCTTATTCTTATCTTTTCCATTCACCTGTAAAAGGATGAATGATGTGCTGTGTTGGTGTTTACAGCTACACCTCCTTTTGGCCCAGCATATCTGATTTCAACAAACCCCTATTACACTTTTTACAACATGCTTGGGGGAGGGGGGTCTTGTTTATTGACTCTTAAAAGCTTGGTTTTTGCACTGTGCTGTGGTTTATAGCTAGGCTGGGATGTCTGCACCTTTCGGCCTAGCATATCTTATTTCAACAGATCCCTAATTAATCGCCTTCTATGACATGCTTATTAGGGGGAGTGAGCCTGTTCCCCTCCACCCCAGTTGAGGCCTCGGAAACCCCAAATTGAATTCACTCCTTAGTAGTACCTGATATCTTTCCGTGTAATAAATGTGGTAATATTCTTTCATGTATCCACAGTGTAAAGAACTTGTCACCAGCAAAGATGTTCTTCCCAAGCTAGTACAGCTAGTGGACTCAAAACTGGTAATGTTTGTATGTCATTCTGTCCAAATGTGAATTTAAGTGTGTAGAAAAGTAATCCTATAGCATATGTAGATGTGATGTGATAAGGCTTGATGTTAAAAAGATCATGGTGTCTTGAGGTGAGATGGCCATCTCGTTTCCTCAATGCATCCATTAGATTGACCTGAGTCACGTCTAAGCAAATGAGTAAATGACCCATTTTAACACCTTGATGTGTTTTGGCCATATGGTGTTAGCCCTTATTTTTAAAATAGACCACTCTGCACTTGGTAGCTGGGTGATCAAAGGAAAGGCAAGACAGATATAACCAGATTGTGACTGGTGCCATCAGTGTTGTAACTCGGCGCTGGCTGCTGAAGATAAGGATGGAGTATGCATGGGAATGCCCTAAGTGCTGTGATGTCATTTCTTGACTCAACTCTTAGTTATTCAACAAGGTCTGCTCTCTTGGTGAGCTGGTTTTATCCACTACACTTATGTGTCAAACTGTAATAAAGAACCCTTTTCCACACCATAAGGCATATTGGGCATATAGTGCTAGACCTGTGTTTTATAGACCAATCAGCACTCAGTGGGTAATATAGTCAACAACATTATGAAGGCCACCTTAACTTCCCATGAATTTACCTGGTACCCATTTTAGGCTGAGCCGACCTGGAAGCTAAGGTAATTTTTTTTAAGAAGAAACAAAAAAAAAGACGACTAGATGCAGATTTCAACCTACAGCCTTCGAGCATAGGGCGAACGTCCAACCGCCACTCCAGAGCTTCCTTAAACTTAAATGATAGTGATTTGTTGTCAGAAACATTCATGCCACAGTACTTAGGAGAGGTCAGTCTGTGCTCAGTATCCAGAATATTTTGAAGCATGTTTATATTTCTTGTTGCAGTAACCAGCTGGTTATGCACAGATCTTCTTTACATTCTGTTGCGTATAAACGCAACAGCAGGATGATGATAACGTCTTTTTGTTTCCTCGATTGTGATCACAGTAAGAATTATAAACATTTGTTTTAAGATAGATAAAAAGAAAACTAAATATATGTCGTACTTCGTACTAGCAGTGCCAGGTCACGCGTTGCTGTGGCTAGATGGAAAAGAAAGAAAATAAAAGAGCACCTGTCTGTTGTGGTTAATTTTGCAATTATGGTCTGGGCAGATAAAGATTCTGTCTGGATTGCCAACTCTAGAATAGGCAACATATGATTGGGTCTTTATTTTAGTGGTTGTGTCAATTGTTTTATTAGGACCAAAAAATAAGGTTATTTCTCTGTGACATGCTAAAGGTGTTTGTATTTTTAAATAGCTGAAGGTAAAGACCAACTAATAAATAAATAAAAACTAAATTAAAAAAACCAACTAATTCTATATAAATAAAAATGAGAAAAGCTGAGGTACCGTTAGTAAAATTTAAAAAAGTAAGAAATGAAAACTTTAAAATTATGAGTTAAGCTCTCTGAGTTAACAGTTTCTGTCATCACTCCCCTCCCCTCCTTCCACCCTATCCACTTCTCTCTCTCTCCCTCTCTGAAGGATTTGAAATTAATCACCTATCGAAATTGTTTGTAATTGACCTTGGCGTCCGCCCAGACTAAAATGGGTAGCAGGAATGGTAATGAGAAGTAAATGCGGCCAGTGTAATATTTACCACATCATCCATCAAGTACCAGTATAACTACTACTGCCACCACAATAACTAAAATAATGCTAGTACTGTCTGTTTTACCACCTTTCTAGAGGGTTGTGAGCCAGAGGTTTTAGCCCTGCATGGCGGTTACTGTGACAGTAATCTCTTTCAGTTAAAAACCTGTTAATATTTCCACACCTCTAAATTTCCATACATTCTATCAACAGCTGGTCGTTAAATTTCCATACGTTCTGTCAACAACTGGTTGTCAATTTATTATATGCAGATATCTGAGGTCAACAGTCAAAGTTCTCAGAAATATAAACCCACTCTGGGAACGCAGCCACACACACACAAAAAAGATGCTGATGTGATCATCGCTGGAACTGTGCAGTTCGTGCTTTGTGCCATAATCTTACATAAAACACAGCACCTATTCGAATGCAACGTTATGTCAAAATTTGAAAGAAATCGGTAAAGAACTTTAGGAGATTAGCTATTATTCACAAACAGACACGTTCATTTAAAAAAAAATATGATTAGAAATCAGCATATTAACACATTTAAATTTTCAAGTGAATTAACATATTAGTATTTTCACATTAACATATTTATGTTTTCAGTCAGTAAAGTCGGTTGCCGCAGCTGTTGGAGTGTGCCAGAAGAAGAAAAACATACCCTCAGATAAGGTATGTAACCCAGAGATCACATCAATATGCCTTAGTGGGCGCACAGTCAGACATGAATACATCTGGGTCTGGAAGTTGTTAGGATTGGTGAAATTGTTTTTCTTGGGGTGGGGGGGGGGGGGAATAATCTTTATAACCAATAATTAGAAACAACCTTTGCTTCTCACACACAGATAGTATCCACAGGGTATCCATCAGTGGTGTCTGCAGGATGGAATAACCAACTACAACCTTTAGCCAGCACTTTTATCATGCTTGATAAGATGCAGTTTTACATCTATTTGCTTCCCTTAAAGGCCTTGTTGATACATAACAATTTCCTATATAGGTACCAGAAAACACTGTTTATAACACATAACTGTATGTATGAATTTGTATCATAACAGCAGGTTTCCTATGTCACTAATCATTAATAGTGACTAGATGGTATGAAGTATAAAAAGAAAAAGTGGCTAGAGGACACACAAAGAAAAAAAAAACAAGCAACTTTTTTAGTTTTAGATGAAAAAAAATATATACTGTAGGTAATCTGTATTATGAAACCCAACCTTATGTTATCTAATTGCCTTATTTTACAGCCTTGCCGCTCGTGCCCTGAGACGGTTTCAAGTGTTCAGAAGTTACTCAGCAAGTTCCTGACACAAGTGAGTTTTTTTACAACACATGTCAGAAATAAAAATAAGAAATTATTAACTGTTTATCTCAGTTCTTTATAAAAAAGAACAAATTTATTGTTGACATTTTTGTCATATTCTGTCTTCTTTTTCTGCCTCTCTAACCCCCAATAAAGCATAAGTCCTCAACCAACTCAAGCCAAGTAGTTTGTTCCTTCTCTATAACATGCAATTCTCCCCATGTTCTCTCCATCTTTTAGATTGATGACACTGAGCTGGCTGCTACATCAGAGGACGGAGCACATATAGGTCGGGCCAATGTGCTAGGATGTTGATGCTAATAACATGTAACAAGACAGGGGTATCAGTTAAAATAACTAAGAATGGCATGATCAATCACAGAAGCAGAAAAAAATGTTTACAGCTTTAAAAAAACAAACCCATCTCACTGATACGACAACTGCAAAGATCAATGGAAAAAAAGAGTAGAGGCAGACCAAGAGAGATGATACTGGATGGGCTAAAACCATGGCATGGGGGGATATCATTGAAAGAGCTGTTCCAGTCAACCAGGAATCGTGATCTGTGGAGATGCATGAGCACCTACACCAGTTGGCAGGGCAAATGATGATGATGATGATCTCACTTACAACACAACCAGTGCTGCAAAATCATGTGCAAGACTAAACCTCCTCTCACCTCTTTCCCTTGTTTTTTTTTCTTTTTTTGTCTGTTATTGTCCCTACTATTTATTACACATGATAAGGGGTTTTGTGGAAAGAGCTTTGACTATTTACAGATTTGTTTAGTGTCAAATCCTTGAGTCATTTCAGCCAACACTGTTGTATTTCAGGATGCTTTCATGAAATTGATTGAACCTCAGTGTGTTAAACTGGGACAGGGACGTCATTTGGTGAGAATTTACATTCATTCTTATATCTTACTGTTTTGTTTTTGCTTGCAGAGTAGTGTAAGAATGTTGCTTTTTTCTTGGCGGTATCTTCTTTTTAAAGTCCATACCGTGTGGCGTTGGTGGTCATGAATATCCACAGCCTTCTGTCTCGTGTTCTTTCAGTCAACCCTGATACAGATGATTCTCCATGCCTTGATGTCAGACTGTCCAGCATCTTTTCTCTCGGTCTCACACTGCCTCTCCTTCCCTCCAACTTTCCTACTGTCACGATGTTCTCCAGTTTTCTCCTTCTCCTCACATGACCAAAGAATGTAGATTGTCTCTTTCTGATGTGGGCAATCAGTTTTCTTCGAGAGTCAGTTTCTTTCAAGACGTCTTTATTACTCTTTTTATCTGTCCAGGTTATCCCATCATTTGTATATAAAACAACATCTCCGCAGCTTCCAAATAAGTTTTCACTAATTTACCAACTGTCCATGATTCACTTCCATATATCAAGATAGGATTTATATATCTTTTGAGAATTCTTTCTCAGCTCAATTGACAACGAAAGATTGCAAATGACATTGGTAGTTTAATTTTTTTTTAAATAAAGGAACCTTTTTCAAGGCTATGGCTTAATAGGCAGATGATGCTAGGCCCGTATTTTTTATAGAAAAATAAGCTTACGATTGGAAATGTCACCGTGATACCAGCAGCCTTTACTTCCCAGGACACTACCTGGTGCCCATATTATTTCAGGTTGACCAAGGTCAGGGGGTAGGTCTACAGAGGGTCAGGAAGATATTCAACACTGAGGGAAAAACAGGTGGACTTACTTTTAATCAGGTTGCAACAGGTACTATTAGCATATTGACCCTTTGTTGGCTACTGAGGAAGGAGATGGAGCATGTATGGGAATGTCCCAAGTGCAGGGATGTAAATTCTTGATTCATTTCTTCAAGGAGCCTAATTTTGTCATTCAGAATCTTTATAATTTAATAAGTGAAATTGTTTAGACTGCACACAAGAATACTGCAGAGTTAAGCCAGTCAATTGACATTTTTTTTGCATCTGGGTCTTTGGTAATTTTTTCAACAAGTGCCTTCAGATAACTTTTTTTTTTTTTTTTTAACAGGATAGTGCCATTAAATAAATATGTGTTGTTTTTTTTTAAACAGAAAAGCAACATCAGATAAATATGCATTTTAAAATTTTTATTTGATCAGTATACTAGAGACTGTACATTGTTGGTGGTGAGTAATTGTAACATTGTTGAATGAAACAGTATTATTTGTGTCTTATCTCCAGTGTCGGACTATTGGACAAGCAAAATTTGCAGATTTCTACAACGCCCTTATAAATGCTGTGAGTATTTGCTGCGACATTTATGTACTGGTTGGGGGTGAGAGGAGGTGATAATCTAAGAGCATCACTTTGGGAGCCATGAAACTGCATTGTTGGCTAGATTCTTGTCTGAAGGTCTTGAGTTCAGGTCCGCCAAGCTCCCTGTATGGGTTTCTGAGAGAGACACCCAAAAAAAAAGAGCCCCCCCCCCCCCCCCCCCCCCAACAGGCGTGTCCTGAAAGGCAACTAATTTAAGAGTTGTTGAAATCAGATGGGCTTTTATAGGGAAAACAAGAATAGACCCACTGCCTACCCAAAAGCATGTCATAAGAGTTGACTAATTGGGACCTTCCATTGAAGTCGGAGTGCATCTGCCTGAGAGGCAAGGAACCAACAGTCTGCACACAAATGAGTCAGATCTGTCAAATAAGTGCACATGCAACACTCATGTTCTGAAACAGGACTGCAGTCTAGAAGTGGATGAACAATCAGAACTTTCTGGCGGAGGTAACAGACAGCGAACGTGAAGAAAAAGAAGAAGACAGCATTTGTGTAAAACACAACACAGAAGAAGTAGAAAACCACAGAGCTGGATTTAAAAAAAAATTAACCTAGGGCTTCCAGGGGAGCCACTCTAGTGTAGCGGCTAGATGCTGGCCTGCGCTACCAAAGATCATGGGTTCAAGCCAGACTTTTTTTTCTTCCAAAAAGGACCTTGACTCCCAGGTCGACACAGCCTTGAGTAGGTACCAGGTCAAGTCCTGGGAGCTGAAAGCGGCCAGATGATGTTGACCACATCAGCTGCCAACTTATTGGTCTGAAGAAATATAGTTCTAGCACTGTACACCTGGGAGCTTGGTGAAGGGTCCTTAGGGCTTCAGGTCATCTCAGCCTGAAATAGATTCCAGGAAGTCACTATGGCTAACATAACATTGATCACATCCCCCCTAGAATGCTTCTTTTTTTCCTGTAAAAAATATGAGTTTTAGGACCTTGTGCCTTATGCGTCGGTGATGTGAAAAGATTCAGTTAATTTTCACTCTGCTTACACAATTTTTGATATTTAGGTAAGAGCGTTACCGTCATTTTGGCCATGTAACAAGACTGGCATCAGACAGAGCACCACAAAGAGCAGTGATATACAGTGGTAACAGAGCCAGAGGTTGAACACACAGAAAATGGACCATAGAAATATCAGAGACACTGACAAGTTCTATATATGAAGCGAACAGAAAAGCCTGTTCCAGAGATCTCTCCTGACACTGTGAGGCATTCTAGGATTAGAAGAAATAACCACAAAAATAACTCTAAGCCTTTTGCTGCCAAAAAATTGGTAGTGAACCCATGGAAATTCCTTGGAAAAAAAATTCTTCAACAGAACCACACAAAAAACATTTTACAAAGATCAATAATAATTTAAAAAAACAAAATCTAAAATACAAAAAATTGATTTATGTTCATAAAAAATTGTTGGTAGAATTCCTTCCTCTTCTTCTTCCTCTCTCCTACCATTTACCTCAGCGAGATGTTGGGGGGGGGGGGAAGATATAAGGTTCGTTATTGCGCTTTTTCCAATGTATTGTACAAATTGGTGTTCATTTCTGTTAGGTTGCTCCTGATGATGTCGCTCCATCTCTTGCGTGGTCTTTCCCTTGCTCTGTGTTCATTATATTTCTTCAGCGTGGAAAACCTCCAGAATTGGCACCTGGAATGTTAGAATTGCGTACGATGTAGGAAGAACAACGGAAAAAGGAAGACCAAAAACACATGGAGAAGGGATCTAGAGAGTGAAGTTAAAAAAGATGGGGAGAGCTGCATATGATAGCGAAGGATAGAGTGATTTGGCCTGAGTTGGTTGAGGGCCTATGCTTTATTGGGGGTTAGTAGGGCAGAAGAAGAGAATGATCATTTTTAGCTAATGCCTTTATATGCTGACTTATGTTAAATATCCCTTTCAGGTTGAAATCAGCAGAAAAAAATATCCTAAATGTGGAAACATCCTGTATCTTCCTCTGATATGCGATTATCCCAGGGAGCCAGCTTCTTCTTCTTCTTCTTTTTTTTTTTTTTTACACACAGACATTTTATTTCCAAGTGTAAACAGCATTTGAACAAGTCCCATGAAAAGAAAAGTTCATTAAGGAACCTAAAAATGTCTACTATATAAGCCAGCCTAGCCATCCATTCCTCCTTCAACAAAGTCAGATTGTTGCTCTTGCAGGAATTGCTTTACTTCCTCCCTCACTTTTGCGCGAAGGAGGAGATGATGATGATTATAGTCCACATTCCCATGGGTTGAAGAACATTGATTTAGAAAACTATACATTGAGACCTTTTGTGTTTGCTAGCAGTTATTTAGCAGTGTTTTTGTTGGTAAATAACTTCTAACTATCTACATCTTGTCTTTACAGCCAGCAGCGTCAGTTTGTGAAGGTGTTACCCAGTGTCTTGGTGTATCTTCAGGCCTTCTGTCAGAACAGGTGAGTTATCACACAAGGCATGTCAGGTAACTCACATCTAAGACTACAGTGTCACTATTATAAATGGAATCTTTATCTGAACCCTTCCACCTCGAGAAGCATCAAAACCGGCACTTCTGGTATGTGCCTTGCCCCTGTAAATGCTGCTCAACTGGCACAACAATAGTGACTTGTTTATGAGAATCCTCGCTTAAAGCATTGATACCGATTGCACATGCACAAATGTTAATAGGTCCGCCAATGGTTGCAGTTACTAAGAATAGCATATTGGGTGGTTTCTTATGACAAACTGGCTTTATTTTATAGAAATTATGATGTTATGTTTTCCCGTTAGTCACAGTCGTCAGAGGTTGAACAAAAATTCAGCATATAAAATTTATTTAACCACAGGAAGACGTAACCTGCTTGGTTCTCTGTTGCATTTGCTTTTATTGATTACTGCTTTAAATCAGTGTAATTTTTGTCTTTTTTGTGTCCTAAAATATCATTGTTAGGAATTTTGAGTTGATTCAAGAACCGACATTACCGCACTAAGGGCATTCCCATAAGTGCTCCATCCTCATCTTCAGCAGCCAACGCAGAGTTCCAATAACAATAGTACCAGTAGTAGTTTGCTTATATGTCCTGTCTTGAGAACTCTTTAAAAAAAAGTCTGACCCCATTGTGATTCCTGAAAAATCTATTTTTTTAAAAACCCAAAAGTTTTTACACTTGTCATTTTTAAATTCATTAAAAATTTATTAGTTGAAATTTAAAAATTATTTTTCAAAATATATTAAGATATATGAACGGGGTGAAGCATTAAATTGAATACAACTCCTGGGGCCTAAAAAAACAACACACACCTATTGTCACACATGCCATGACCCCTTGACCTTTATCATTGAGGCTTATGAGAAAATCTGATGTCATCTTGGCTTTAAAAAAAAAAAAACTTTGGCACAAAGGAAACCCCTCTAAATACTATAGTTGGTTCATTTATATCCTGACCTTCTAAACGTTTGCACAGGCACAAACTCAGCCATTTGCATTAACTGTACATCTCGTAAGCAAGTCACGATAGGCTAGTCGAAAACGTGACATTTACAGGAAACTGGACACAACTGCAAGTGTCAGTTTTTCGGCTTCTTGGGGCAAAAGGGTTAAGCTATTTATTGTGGTATCATTTGCTAGTCTCTCCTGCATCAAACATTGACCATTAGCTTTTGCTATGAACCCCCAGGCACTTCTTTTGCCTCTTGACACTAAACCATTTCTAGTAATTTTCCCTGGTCTCTGAATAGTGAGATCGGACGCACAAGTGCATTGTTGCGCAAGTAAAAAAAAAAAATCCCTTGGCAGTTGGAAATCGAAAAGAGTAGCCTAACAATGCTGCCCGGGTAAAAATTTGAAGTTAAAAAATCTACCCAAAGTATTTCAGGATTCTCACCGGTGCTACAGAGCCTGTATACTGTGTTGAGCTTCTTCGGACTCGGGCTTGAGTTAGAAGAAGAACAGAGCACTTATGGGTTACTACCCTTGTGAGATGTGTTGATCCGTACTTCAAACTTCTTTCAAGACATATTAATTGCTCTTTTTATCTGTTTTTCTCATTTTCTCATCTATGAAACCATGCTTCTGTCCCCTCACACATAATTTTCACAGATTACCTAACCGTTTATGATTCACTTTCTTGTATTGTCACTTCCTTGGTGCTCACGAGCAAAAAAAATGGAGGAAGCTTCAGGAGATGCGGTAGCTGCTGCTCGTGAGTCCCAGCCATCTAGTTTAGCCCCCATCCGCGCGATGCGGGGGAAACTCTCTGCAGTGACTTTAACCCGGTGGAAGCTTTTCCGCGGTGTGTGGTATAGTCACAGAAAGAAGTCCGCAATTAACATGACTAAGGCCTTGTTAGGGTATTTTCTTAGCCTCGATAATTTGGGACCGTTAATCGGAGGATAGCCTATATAGCTAGTGAGAATTCTCTTTCTGTGTCAAATTTAAATAGGTATAGATATTGAGAATTTTTTTATTGAAACTCTTCATTTCCTCATTTTTTTCTTGTTAGTTATTCCTCTTCTATACCGTTATTTTCTTCTCTCGTTTTCGTCAGCCTTGTTCAATGTCTCATTTATTTAGATAATCCTGTGTCATTTTATTAAATAACAATGTTACCCTTGTTATAATAGTAATTACTATTCCAGGCATCAACTGAGTGTGATATTTGCAAGGCTGTGGTCAAGGAAATTAGAGAGCTGGATCGGAGTCCAGTTGTTCAGGTAAATTTTGTTTATTGAGCTCACCTTTGTATTACTGGACCCACGAGGGAGACTGAGAATATGAATGCTGTGCTGGAAGCCATAGTGGTGTAGTGGCTAGATGCTCTCCTCCCAGCCTGAAGGTCAGAGGTTCAAATCCAAATGGAGCCAAATTTGATTTTATCTTGGCTCCCAGGTCAACCTAACTTCAAATGGAGACCAGGTAAAGTCATAGGAAGTGGAGGCAGCTGGCGGAATTCTGAGCACATGGCCCACATAGTGCCAGCTGGTCTGAGAATACAGTTCTAGCACTATATACCCAATATACCTAATGGCGTGGTAAAGGATCCTTTTACTTTTACTGCTGCTATTGTTAAGTGCAGTGATGACTAAGAAAGGTTTGTACCAGAGACCTAGAATGAAAGTTAAATGTATTTGAAAACAAAAAGCCTGAGGAAAATGTTGAACATAAAAGAGGATGAATTATAGATGGGTGAAGAAACAAGTAAATTTCTACGCAGCCTCTGGTAACAACAGTTATAAGACAAAGAAGATGGTACTTTATTACACATCCTGTCATGAAACAGGTTCATTTTACTTAAGATATGTGGTGGGGTTGGTTTAAATCCTCCTTCCATATCTGAATGAGAAACCAAGACAACAGTCTTTTGATGCTAAGTGGAGACCCAGTCCGTGGATACACTCAGATACTGACTAAAATTGGCCCGTTAAAGAAAGTGAGCCGCCCGAATATCTGCAGAAATAGGGAAAGGGGAGTTTAGATTCCTAGGGAGCACTGAATAAATGAGGTGGCTAGACAGAGCAGTTTACTTTTGACAACTGTTCTTTCTGGTCCTTAAGTTAAGCTTTCATCTAGAAGAGGTATATTGATAGACAGCACTAAACTTGACACCATACACATATCTAGAAACAATTAAACCTTAACTATGAATGTAAATCATAGTTTTGTTTTTTAAAATAAAACCAATATCAGTCATATTTTACTTTGATATAATGAAAAGAAAAAAAAATTTTGTCACATGAAACTGTCATCATGAGAATTTGTCTGGGAAACGGTAATTACCACCTGGGGTTTTCCAGAGGCTCTTCATCTGACTTTGAAATGAAACATTCTTCAGGGCACCTCGCCAGCCGTAGATCGTTTAAGTACCAGCATCAGAAGATGAAGAATCTCCTAAGAGTACTAAGGTACAGTAAAAGGGAAATGCATCCTAGATACAGAAAGATAGGATTAGCATTCCAGAGACCTAGTTCAGTGGCTCTCAACCTTCCTAATGCCACAACCCTTTAATACAGTTCCCTCATGTTGTGGTGACCCCCAGACAATTATTTTTCTTTATAACTTTAATGAATATGTTTTGTCTGATGGTCTTAGGTGACTCTTGTGAAACAGTCATTTGACCCCTCCCCCTCCAAAAAAAGGGTTGTGACAGGCAAGTTGAGAACCGCTGATCTAGTTCCTGACCCAGAGGTCAGCGGTTGAAATAATCCTCGTCTTTCACCTGTAGGGTACAGTTCTAAGATAGAAAGCAAAATATACCTCTGAAAAGGAAATAGTGATGTATATAATAATCACCGTCCTAACCTGAAGATAGATATGAGATTGTTCAGTGAGTTTGACCATAGTGCTTGGTTTTTACGCTGCTTGAAAGTCAAGAGTTAAAGTTGTCTTGGAAAACTAGACTCCTCTCTTTCTCCTAGTGGCTGGAAGTGAATGGAAGTATTCCTGTATATCAGTGTGATCTCCCTTTTGCAGCTAGATGTAACTACACCATTGCTGGGGGCTAGTAGCAGTTTCTATACGCGAAAGTGATGGGCTGTGACATGTCATGAAATTGAAAACTATGCCTGGGGAAGGGGGAGGGGGAATTCCATAATGGCATCCATATACACATAGGGATATCCCTCTATGTCATTGCTGAATAGAATGATGTCACTCTTGACAAAGCTAAGAGGGAAAAACAACAAGGGCGAAAGGAGTGGTATGTCATTCATGGTATCATTTTCCACTTGAAGCAGCACCTTGCGACACATCCTGAGAAGAAACAAGCACTTCAATAGGAAATAAGGTAATAGAAAACTTGAAACAAATGATGATAGAGGCTAAAGATGCTGTGGACTGGATTCTGTCCATGATATTGAAAGGATTGCTTAAGACAGAGTGGAATGGAGGAATAGACTGCAGTTTCATTCTGTAGATAACTAACACAGTAGAATGACACAGGAGTAAAGCATAATGAAGCCTATTTGTGGCGCTTTTCGAGGCTGAGGTAGGAGACATTATATCCGGCTCCTCTGGTAACAATCAATCGATGTACCTTGGAGTAGCTTCTGCATTGGAGGACTAAGCACGCATGGCGATGCCCAGTATGCAGGGACGTTGATTATGATGAAATATCACAATCTAGCACATGTAGAGTACTCATAAAGATAATTTTCTGCTAATTTTTCAGAGTGTCCTTCAAAACCTAATCAAGTCTGTATGTGCGAAACTTGGAGCTTTTGCCCAAATGGTGAGTTTTTTCAAATAAATTTGCTTTGGGGATCTAAACAAAATGTATATTTTGGCCAGTTGAATGCTATCAAAGAGCTCTGGTGGAAGAAGTCAAATCCTCAGGCTCAAGAACCCCCCTACCCTACACTGCCATAAAAAGTAGTACATGTATACTGTAATGAACAGTTGATGGAGTAAATATGAGGAGAAGGTGTAGTGAAGAATGCTGTAGTAAAGAGGTTAACTGTGAGAGTGTATCAGTAAACAACATTATGAATTCTCTCTGTACCTAACTTGTGTCAGTTTGCTGTTGTGTCAGCTTGCTGTTGTAAAAAAAGACATTTTATTTCTTCTTGTGTTATGTAGTGTGACATCCTGGCTGATGAGGAGTTGGAGCATCTGTCTGAATTAATAGCTACGGAAATGGTAAATATGATATGTTTTGTCTTTTCTCCATCATTGTTTCAGGAGCCGCCACGGAAAAGTGGCTAGATGCTCGCTTGCGAATCGGTCGTGGGTTCAGGTCCTCGTGGAACTGGACTTTTTCAAAAATGACCTTGGCTGTCAGGTCAGTCTAGCCTTCAATGGGTACCAGGTACAGTCCTGGGAAGTAAAGGCGGCTGACGTAATGTTGACCACATCACCCACTGAGTGCAGATTGGTCTATAAAATATAGATAAGCTGTATGCCCATTAATAGATAAGCTGTATGCCCTCTATGCCCATTATGCCTGAAGACGTTTAAAGGGGTGCTTTACTTTGCTCCATCGTTGTTTCATGTTTCTTCATCAATAGTAGCTACAGCTACGATAAACATGTTTGTCTTCAGTTCTTCATTGTCTCATGTTTTATATCCTTGATTATTATATTTATGGGATCTGCACCAGCATGATGGCTACAAGCTAGCAGGAAATGTCTTGGGAAGTAATGTTGGTCAGTGCTATGTTGAGCACATCACCCAGCGAATGCTGATAGCCTATAAAAATATTTGTCTCACCACCGCATGCCTGGTGAGTCAATAATGTGAAATGGGTCTTTTACTGTACCTGTTACTGACATATTCTCAGTAGTCTCCAAATGAGTCTTTCGCTATTTGTTTCTAAATCTTCATATTATTTTATTTATTATATTTACTTAATCTGATTGAACTGACACCATCAGTTGAGTAATTTCAGAACTATGCAACATAATGTAGCTTTGTAGAGAGTGTAATATTTTCTTCTTCTTTTGTTTGTTTTGAATAGATTATCTGGCTATTCTCCGAATAACGGTCCCAAATTATCAAGGCCACAAATATACCCTAACAGGGCCTCAGTCACATGTAAATTGCTGACTTCCGGCGACTTAAAATGCAGACTTCCAGAAACTACCGCCACCACCGAGAGTATCTCCCATGCCGCCATGTGCGGCATGGAGCGGGGCTAAATTAGATGGCTGGGACTCACAAGCAGCAGCTATTGCATCTCCTGCAGCTTCCTTCATTTTATTTGCTCGGGAGTCGCAGCCATCTACTTTAGCCACGTCACGCGTAGCGGCATGGGAGAAACTCTCGGCGGTGGCGGAAGTCGCCAGAAGTCCACAATTTACATGTGACTGAGACCCTGTTAGGGTATATTTTCGGCCTCAATAATTTGGGTCTGTTATTCGGAGGATAGCCGATTATCTGTATCTGCAATGTTGCCTCTAGTATGAACTTCACTGTCTTTTGTTATTCACTTAGCGACCCGCAAAGTTTGGCTTTCACTGGCCAGAAGTGTAGCCTTGATATGTTGTTTTTGGGACAGTCTTGGGGGATATGATCTGATGTCTGTGGTGCCAGTCACCGTGTGATCGTCAGTAAACTGTCTCAGTATGTAAATTCAGTTGTAATATGTGATTAAGATAGCAGTCTTCCCCTCTTCCTCCTTCTCTTTCAGCATTCTGAGCCCTTGAGGTTACTTGCTGCAAATATCACCTACCTCTAGTCATCTCTTAAGATGGCAGTCTGCCCTAACAAAGAGTGGTAGCTTCATGTTTCTTAGCTTTAATTCAGACAGAAGAAGTAAAACAAAAGAAGAAACATCTGAAAGATTTGCATAACACCCAAACTGATAATAAGTTAGTGGTTAAAAATTATAGATACCTTTCTCAGCTTTATAAAAAAAAAAGTTATATTGGAGCACCTTAACTCTTTTAGTCCTAAGGAACACATCATATGTTCTTACGTTCCTACAAAGAACGCAGAATGCGCTGTTTATATATTTCTCTTTACCACCATTGGGGCTCTGATGCTAAACCCCCTGGCACTGAAAGAGTTAAATCACACCAAGTAATCTGCCATCCAGTGCAGATTTTATGAAACTGCATTCACAGCCCTTAAGCCATGGGCTCACATATTTGTCTCGGATTACTCATGAAATTTTGTGATTCTCTATTTAAACAGGAACCTGATGTCATCTGTGAAGAGTTAAAGTTATGTGGCCAGCCTGAACAAAGTTAGTATTGCTGTATTGTCAGTGTTTGTGTTATGTGTTTCACCACTAGGTGGGTGAGTGGAATTTTTCTGCTTGTACTATGTGGGAGTACATGACACACTTTGTTCTTGTTTGTACTGTGGAGCCGCATTATTATAAATTTATATGATGGTTCAGAATGTGCAGTCTACACTGAAAATGGTCTAAGTGACTGGCTTTTTGATATGAAGTATGCATTGGAAAATAAGTGTTTGAGAAAAATCATGAACATCAGATAGAGTGAATTCAAAAATAGTGAGTAGATTAGAGAAATGTCTGGACAAATACTGTATCACCTGCAATAAGACATAGAAGATGGAGATATATTGGGCACACTTTAAGATAAAATTAGCAAACAAATTATGAAACAGTCACTGAAATAGGAAACAAACTGAGAAAAAGAGGACGTCAAAGGGAAACATTAGGAATAAAAATATTATGAGAGGCTAAAAACGCTGGGCTGAACTCTGTGTCAGAAATCAAGAGGGTTGCATGCACTAGAGTGGAATACAGGAATCAATTTGATTTGCTTTGATTTGATTCAAGAACCGACATCACAGCACTCAGGGCATTCCCATAAGCGCTCCGTCCCCATCATCAGCAGCCAGCGAAGACTTCCGTTACTAATGGTGCCAGTAGCATTCTGATTAAACTTCCATTTCGCCTTTCCTCTGAGCCTTGAGCATCTGTCAGAACCTCTCGTCACTCCCCCCTGCATCAGTCTCACCAGACTGTGGTGATCCATCTGCTCCTCCGCACTGTACACGCTCTACCCCGAGGCACCAACCATGTCTGCCTTATTATGTATCGGTTGCACCAAGTTGTGCAGAGCAAGCCAATCTGTCCGCCTGTTTATTTCCCACCACACCAGCGTACCCTGGTGAAAAAATCCAGACAATACTCCTCACCCGTGTCCTCCGCAGCGAAGCATGCCATTCTGCACAAAGCATGCCTGTCCTGAACTTCCTCAGCATGCTTTCTGAGTCAGTTACAGTCACGATGTGTGTGTGTGTATTGTGTTCTCTAACCAGCAGAAAGCTTCAGTGACCGCCTCCACCTCCATTCTTAAGCTGGATGTTGTGGTATCATATGCTAGGCTCTCCTGCACCAAACGTCGACCATTAACTTTTGCTAAGAAGCCCCAAGCTCTTCTTTTTCTTCTTGACACTGAACCGTTTGTGTGAATGATAGATAATGAGGAATCGAATGCGGGTCCTATGAACGTCTAACAGCACACACAGGATAGTGATGACTGTGGGAGCCACTGTCTTTGCAAAATCGTTACTGACTACTGATTTAAGAATTGACATCATAGCATACCGGGCATACCCATAGATGCTCAGTTTCTCGTAGCAAACGTCTTAAGGTGTTAAGGTCTTAAGCCAGATATTCCCTCAGCACACTGATCATTCTCTTCCTCTCATACATTTGCAGAATCATTAAATCTAACATAGTTTTTTTTTTTTTTTTAAGATTTAGAGTTCATGTTTGGTTTTAGTGCTGTGAGTTGTAATATAGAAAACTCATAACTGGTATAATAGATACAGCCTAGGTGTACTCTACGGTCCAGTGTAGGTAGGAGTCTGTGATCAGGAAAGACCTTTATTTAGCAGGGCATATATGCTGTTCTGTGGCTCAGGGTTAGTGGATGTGCTTCACAATCTTTGTCATACCAGTAGACAGTGCAATAAGAATTGCATCGGGGAAGAGATTGGGACCTCACCATAGTTTCCAAAGTCGGCAATGGATGTATGTATGCAGTGCAGCCAGTCTCTACTGTGGAGTTGACACAAATAGTAACAGAGAGAAATATTTCAGTGATATGTTTTTAAATGTTATGGTGGCCTGGAGAGAGAACTGATGAAGGCTACAGTTTCCAGAAAATGTGGCAGAGAACTGAAGAACTGGCTATAGAAAGAGAGACTTTAAGATGTGCAGTGACGATAGTGAGGCTCTGCAAAGGATCTGCTTATTGATGATAGTATGTTTGTGTTTCAGAAGCAGTGCAGAGCTCATTCCCTATTGGTGCTGATGCTGCATGTTCAGTTTGTGAAATGATTTTTCTGGCGATGGACCATGCCATTGGATCAAACACTACACAGGTAAACAATTTTTACAGACATTATTGCTGCCGCTTTGGCTACGAAATATAACTTCTATAATTTACGAGGGGCATTCAGAAAGTATTGCTCCTCATTTTTTCCTCAGCTGATAATGAAGATGGAAACATGAAACTCTGATGCCTAACCCTGTCTCCTCGAGAAGCTGCAAACCTACACTTCTGGTTGGATCCATATACTTTACTAATTTGGCTATATTAACCTGTACACAAGATGCATGGTCACCTAAACAATTTATTTGTAGACAGAAATGGGACCCGGTTAATTTTCTGCTACTTTCCCTGCTATTTGGTGTTTACTGATCACTTTTGTTGTTGTTGAAATTTATTGTTTTGGTTGATAATAGGAAATTGTTAAGAGTTTTCTAAGAGACATTTGTAAAATTTTTGTTTTTTAAGAATATTCTTGTTGGCAGGGGGTATTCCCTAATTATGGGTCACTGAATAATGCTCTGTACCCATTTCTTTTCAACTTCGCCCTAGAGAAAATTACAAGTAAATTGAAACAAGAGTGTTAGGAGAAAATGCAAGAATACTTGGTTATGCAGATGACATTGATATCATTGGAGAAAATGAACTAGAGACTGTTAAAACACTGACTCTCTCAAAAAAAGAAGCTCACTAGTTATCAATCAAGATAAGACAGAATAACAAGACAGGGAAAGGATATAAACTCCAGCCACATACAAGTCGATAATATGAAAATTAAAAGAACGGAAATATATAAGTATTTGGATAAACTGCTCTAACATGCTGAGAGAAGAAATACAATCTAGAATACAATCTGGAAATAAAGTATACTGTGCCCTTCAACATCTGCTAAAGTCAAGATCTCTGTTTCACAACACTAAGATCAAAATATATAAAACGTTGATTACACCAGCCGTATTATATGGCTCTGAAACTTGGAGCACAACTAAAAGAGATGAAGCCTTATTACAGATTTTTGAAAAAGGGAGTCTTACGACAAATCTTTGGCCCCATCAGAGATGCAAACAGTAGTGAATGGAAAGCTAAAAGCAACAACGAAATTCATAGTCTATTTAAATCACCATTGATCACAGGCTGTTTAAATCACCATTGATCACAGGCATCATGAGATATAATGGACTGAAATGGCTTGGGCATACTGAGAGAATATCAAATGACAGAGCAGTAAAAACTGTATACACAAGGGAGCAGAATGGTCTTTGACTATGAGGCAGACCAAGAAGACGATGGAGAGATAACATCTAGACTGACCTACAAACACTTGGTGTAACCAACTGGAAATTTAGTTTAGTTTAGTCGACGGATCAACATCATGTTACACAGGTGTAACCCATAAGTGCTCTGTTAAACTTCTAACTCAGCGCTGTGCACGAACTCCGTTGCACCGGTAAGGATCCTGAAACACTGCGAAGATTTTTAACTCAAAATTTTGCCCTGGCAGTGGCGTAAGGCTGCTCTTATCGATTTGCAACTGCCAAGGGATTTGTTACGTGAGCAAAAATACACCAGGCATCCGATCTTACTACCCAGAGATCAGGGGAATAACGAAAAGTCCAGGTGAAAAATCCAGCCGGGGTTGAGCCCGGGACCTCCAGCACTCAAGGCCGATTCCATACCTCGAGACCACATAGCCCTCCCTCCCCCCCCCCCCCCCCCCAACTCGAAAGAAAAGGCCAACCAGAGAGATAAATGAAGGCGGGTGATATCTTCAGCAATGAACCTCAAGGGTTCAGAACGCTGAAAAAGAAGATATTAAAAATGGCAGCGTATTCTAACAGCAAAATCATCTATACAAATCCTTTAAACTAGTAGATGTGAACAATGTGTGTTAGGAACAAAAAATTTTCATAACATTTATGGTTGCGGAAAAAGTAGGTGCACGTGTGCTCACTTTGCGTTGGCTCAAAGCCGTCTTAGGGGGCAGAGATAATATAGACAAAAAGGATGTGCATAAGGAATTAGTTTGTGAGTGAAATTGTTACATTTTGCACAAATATTTTGTTAGAAAAGCAAAGACATGGATTACTTTCTGAATACTCCTTGTATAACCTTTTATGTATGTAAACTATTATGGCCATTAAATCATCCTTATTGTCGATAAATTTTTGTGTTTATTAAAGTATAGGTCACTGTGCTTCTCACGTCTTCACTGATACCTCACATATTGTTGTTCCTGAATGTTTCTGTTTGGGTTCTCCATGGCTAAGTGGTTAACTCTTTAAGCACCAGAAGATTTTGCAGGATATTCCCAAGGGTAGCAACAGTCACAGTGAATATAAAATGTGATCACCTGACTGTCACAGATGTAGCGACACATATACCTAATTAGGGCATTAAAATAACTGGCTAGATTTCTGAGAGTGTACAACCAGGACAAGAGACAGGGCATGTTGGAGATCAATTGCAACCAACCTTCACTGTGAGACGGCGCCTGATTGATTGATGGATTGATAAGGTAAAAGAGTTCAACAAACACATCATCAATTGCTTCAGTCTAAATGAGTTAAATCTTTAGTTTGTCCAATTTCCATTTTCCCTCTTGAAAAATCTGAGCATTGCATCAATGTTTGAGTACTCTCAGAGTGCTGAGTACAATGAAGTTAGTGTATTTTTTAAGAACCTACTCTGTGGCTTGCTACGATTAACCAACTGTATACTAACATATCTCTTTTCAGGAGAAGCTGGAGAAACTTCTGATCGACGATTTCTGCAATCGCCTCCCAGCACCCATCAACGGCCAATGTAGAGATTTTGTTACAAAGTATTCGTCTCAGTTAATCCACGTTTTTGTGAATGACATGGATCCTAAGTCCATCTGCAGCATGCTGGGTCTTTGCAAGAATGCAACAAGTATGTGCGTTTGACTGTATTTGTTTATTTTAGCAGTTTACAAGTAAAGGTCCTTTTCCATGCCTTTGGCATTTCTGTTGCTAGACCCATTTCTAAAGACCAATCGGCACTCAGTGGGTGATGTGGTCAGCATCAGACCTGCCACTTTTTCTAACCGGAACAATTCTTGGTACCCATTTTGGGTTGGGTCTTCTTAATGTTCTTCCAACAAACAAACAAAAAAACTGCCGATTATTGCATTTATTATACCACTTTTTGCAGAGTAGGCACGGGGATCTTTGAGCCTGAGGATTTACAGCCGCGTGGCTAGTGCTGTCGCCACGAAGTGTGAAGATGAGAATTTTATTTTGATTCCAACCTAACCGTTCGGCCAGCTGCTCCTCTTAGTGTACACCCGCTGTAAACTCAGGTGGAAAGTTCTGGTTGTTTGTCCACTTCAGGGCTTTAGTTTTGTTCCAGAACTTGTTGTGCATGCACATCTGTTTTACAGATCTATTGTTTTGTATACAGATTATTGGTTCCTCGCCTCTCAGGCAGATCAGAAAGGAGAGAACTTCTTCTTCTTCTCTTCCACCATTTACCTCAGAAAGGTTTTGGGGATGTAAGGATCGTTTATGCGCTTTTTCCAATGCATTGTTCAAGTTGTTGTTCATTTCTGTTAGGCTGCTCTTGATGATGTCGCTTCATATCTTGTGTGGTCTTCATCTTGTGTTCATTATATTTCTTCACCGTGGCTCTGTGTGGCAGTTAGTACCAGGACATTCTCGTCACTTGTCCAAACCATCCCATTTGTTGTTTTTTAATTTATTGTATGACTGGTTTCAATCCTAGTGTTCTTTTAATATCTTCATTCCTGATTTTATCTCTTTTTGTTGCACTGTCAGCTCTCCTAAGACATCTCATCTCTGTTGTTACGATCTTTCCCTCATTAGTTGTAATAGGAGTCCAAGTCTGACACTGGAAGCACAGTCGGCCAAAAAAACCGTTCTTATGAGATTTGCTTTGGTTGACATGTGTATCTTTCAGTAGGTCAGAAGCAGTGTTAACTGTCCCATTACCTGATTTGCTTTTGCACATCGTGTGTTGATTTCTCTGTCCATTCTTCCATCTGAGGTGGAAAATGACCCTAGGTATTTAAATTCGCTTGTTTGTTTTATTTCTGTGTTATTTACTTTAATTGTTATGTTTCTTCTTGTATTCCTATTACCATTACTTCCGTCTTAACAATGCTTATCTTCATATTATATTTCTCACTTAGTATTGACTTGGTCTATATGGTTCTGTAAACACTCTTCTGTTTCAGCTATAAATACTTGATCATCTACAAATAACAATTCTGAGATATTTTTTCTTCGCTCTCTGCTTTTTTGCATAAATTGTTGATGCATGTTATAAAAAGCAGCGTAGATAGCACACATCCCTGGCATACTGCTGAATTTACTTCAAAAGGTTGCGATGTACTTGCTTTTGTTCGTATGTAACTTTTACTTGATGTATATAAGTTTTTACACCCTTCAGTTATATGTTTGATGATTCTTTTTCTTCTTAAGCAGTTCCACAAGATCTTCCCATCCACTCTGTCAAATGCTTTTTCCTGGTCTCTAAATGGGACTTTGCATGTCTTATCATACTCTGTTGCTCTTTCTGTCAACTGTCTTAATGTTAATATTACGTATGTGCAGCCTCTGTTACGTCTAAAACCCATCTGGGCTTCTGAAAGTTGTTCTTCTACTTATGGTCTTAATCTTCTTTTACTTAATTTCACTTACATTGTTTCCTGTGTGGCTTAATTGTGATCTTCCTCTGTAATTAGTGCACTCTTTCTTACTCCCTTTATTTTTCCATATTGGTATAATTATTGCTGTTTGCCAGTCATCTGATGTTTCAGAAAGGAGGGAAGGACAGTGAATATTACAGTAAATGGGGATATTCTAGAACACGTTTTAAAAAAACTTCTCTTATCTTGAAATGTGATAACACGCAGGGGCAGTAGGAATATGTAAATTTAAAAATTTAAAAGGGAACAGGAGTTACTAAAAATATTTTCATTGACATGAGAAAAATATTAATATCTAAAAGGATAAACAACACATTAAAAAGGAGAATTGTGAAATGCTGTGTATCTCAGCCGACTACTTTAAAACACAGAAACATGGACTATGAACAAGCTGTTAAAAAATTTGAAACAAATTCAGCATACCATCATTAGCTTCATAATTATCGTCTTCTTCTTTTTCTTCTCCTCTTCTTCATCTTCTTCTGTCGTTTGAAATAAATTCTCTATATCTGCAATGTTGTCTCTAGTATGAACTTCACTGTCTTTTGTAATTTGCTCAGCGACCAGTAAAGTTTGACTTGGACCGATGTTTCTCTTGGCCAAAAGTTTTGCCTTGATATGTTGTATTTGGGACAGTCTTGGAGGACATGATCTAATTATTGTGATATTTTGTATCATGTTGGATAAAATAATGTATGCATTTTGTTTTTTCTTTCAGGTGTTTTGCAGTTTAAATCAAGATCAGAAACACCTAAGCTGACAAGTAACATAACTTGTTCTCTGTGCAAATATGTGGTCTCATATGTGGAGGATGCCCTTAAGAAGAATGCAACAGAGGTACAGGTTGAGTTGGCATTTACTTTAGTTGTTCATCGTGTGGGTTCTCTAGGGTTGGCCTGTGGTGGAAGGGGAAGATAGACCCATATCCCCCCTCCCCTACCCCCAACAAGCATGTCATAAAAATCCACTATTTAGGGGTGTATCCTTCGAAGGTTGAGTGTCTCTGCCTAAGAGACAAGGAACCAACAGTCTTACAGATAAGTCAGATCTGTAAAACAGATGTGCACGCAAAACTCAGGTTTTGAAACAAGATCACCAGAGTCCAGGTGGGGACGGACAGCCAGAATTTTTGCGCTGGATTTTACAGCCAGTAAACTTGAAGTAGAATAAGTTTTAGTTTGGACCATCATTAAGTAGCAGATCCTTTAAAGAACCTCGCTATTTTCAAGGTCTGCCTGAAAGAAACTATATCTCATGCACATTCCTACCAAATGATTTCGTACCAGTTCTGCTAAAATACGGAAGTTTTATGTTCAGTAGTTTGCCATTGCTTTCTGAACAATCAGCTGTCAATACCACTGTCAAAAGCAGCACAAGAAGGTCTGCTGCCAACATCCAAGCTTGCACCTTGGATTTATAAAGTGTATTTGCAATACGGATGCTTGTGATCTATCAGAGGCATCACACGCTGGCCAGATTTTTAGGGGAATAAGTATATATATAAATGTCAATCAGTGTCTGTCCTCTCACCTACACACTGGATTCCCTCTATCCACCAATCAAACTGCCCACTCTCCTTGGCACAGCACATGACGATAGTGATTATAACTGGCGTAATGGAGGGTCAACCCAAACAAGAGCACCACTATAATCAAGGCACAGGCAACAAGTTAACATGTCCTTAAATAACCACCAACATTCTCTACGAGTATGATAACATAATACACCATGCCAGTTATTATCCTTCATAGTGCTTAAGTCTTTATTGTGGTCGAAACATTACGACGAAGATGAAATGATGAATGATGGCACAAACTGAGATCTTCTACTACCTTCCCAGTATTCACATCAGCGGTCACTCTAGACATGGATGAAACACCCTAGCAAACTGTGTCCCATGTGCCTGCTACGTGGCAACTCACACCCGACCGCGCAGATACACCTATGTGATGTGCAGTGACAATCTCCTGGCGGTTCGTTCTCTTAACGACCCCGCCACCTTTGGGACTGAAGATAGATGTACCTCTTGGAGACTCTAGACCTACCATATGCTATCCTAGCCACTCATAGAAGTATCACTGACTAACATCCCATCAGTCAGCCTCTAGTACCCCCCCCCCCCCCCCCCCCCCCCCCCCCCCCCCCCCCCCCCCCAACAATCCCAACTACACGTTGGTTAACTTACTAAGTCCCCCAGTACCTTCTGTGCCCTTACAGAAACCCATCTCACCGGCATGGCACCTGATAATTGTGATGAATGTAAGCCATTTGTAAGACATACATGATGTTGACATTATGAGAAGACTAACTAAAATCTTCATCATCTCTGTGTGTGTGTGTGTGTGTGTGTGTGTGTGTGTGGAAGCTCTTTGGCTTAGTGGTTACTGGGTGCATTTAATAATTTCACAATCTTCATAACACCAGAATTTGATTTCTGTGGCAGATGGCTTAAAAAAAAAAACATGTTCTTCTGGCTTTGAGATAACTGTATGAGAGTCACACCGTGAAAGAGGTTGGGACCTCATTGCGTAATATTTGCAGTAATAGCTGTGGGTGCATTAAAGCCAACCTATATTGTGTTTTTGTGTTGTAATCTAACAACAATTGGTTCTCTAATTTTTTTTTCTCAGGCTGAAATTGTTGCTATCCTGCAAGGCATATGTAACGAGTTGCCACAGAATTATAGCCAGGAATGTAAGACCTTGGTCAGTCAGTATGTTCCTCTGATTGTCCAGCTGTTACTAGCAGAATTAAAGCCTGAGCAAATTTGTGAAGCTCTTTCCTTTTGTCAGTCACAGAAACTGGGTGAGTTAAAGAACCGAGGATGTTTTTGGCTTCAGATAAAAATGTTAAAGGTATTATAGACATTATGATAACTATGCTTTTATTGTGTAATGTCAGTTTTAAGTTTTGTAGTTAAGGATAGCAAGAGTGCTAAGCATGTGTCATCACGATGCAGGCAAATATGATGATGTCATAATAACAGTTTAAAGATGGCTACCCCACTTTTGACATGCACTAAAGAGGATCAACATTATGTTATCATTTTTTTTAAATTATCAGTGAAAGGGTGAAACCTATAGAAATTTATTGGCGAATTGTCACAGTATGGGTCCAGTATGGGGACACATGCTTAACAAACAGGTGGCTAGGCAATGGCATGGTTGTTGTAATTTCTGTCGCAGTTTTTTTCATTTGAAGCCCTCTTGTATAACTGAAATTATCAAGTTCCTTGCTGACTGGCACTGGTGATCATGTTCCTCTACAACCTGCTATCTCTAACAGCATTTATCCATCAGCTCATATGTTGACACCACTCCATGCCTTGACACACGGCTGTCAAGAATCTTCCTGCTTTCTCTCTTTTTTCATGAATCTTTTTAGTTACGGCATGTGTGTGTGTGTGTTTGTTTGTTTACACAACAGATTAACATCATAACACAAGGGTGGTAATCCATAAGTGCTCCGTTCTACTTCTAACTCAAATCTGAGTCCGAAGAATCTCAGCACAGTGCACAAACTTGTACTCTTTTCGATTTCCAACTGCCAAGTGTTTTTTATGTGAGCAACAATACACACAGGCGTCCGATCTTATTACCCAGAGACTAGGTGAAATTACTGTTCTGAAAATCTTTTGTCTTACACTAATATCCTACAGTCTTCACTCTCATGTTCTCTCATGAAAGTTGAGGTCCCAAGTCTGTTGTCTGTCTTCACTCAGACTTCAGAAGTGGCTGACATGTTTTTACACAGAATTGTGGTAGCAGGTTATGTGCTGAAAATCCAAAACATTATCTGTGCAGGCTGTCCAGTGACAGTTAATCATATACTCTCATGGTTTTCCCCTTCCCCACCTGTTTCCTGGGTGGTCAGTCCCCTGGATAGGTAAACACATTTCATGTCTCCACAATCAATACACATGGTTTTGTTGATGTTTGAAACATACTAATTTCACTTCATTCTAATAAATACCAGTATTCAAGTCTCACCTGACAAAACATGAAATGCAAACATTCAAGAAATAAGAATGGTTTACCAGCTCCCAAAATAAGATAGCTCAATTCTTCTTTTGCCTTTCTAGCCCCCAATGGAGCATTGGCCCCCAACCAACTCACGCCAAGTCGTTCTATCCCTTGCTATCGCATGCAGTTCTACCCGTGTCCTCCCCATCTTTCTAACTTGATTCTCCAGCTCTCTTCTTCATGTATTTTTTGGCCTTCCTTTATTTCTATGCCCCTGTGGGTTCCAGTGCAAAGACATAAAAAGTACTGATTTGACATTAAAATTAAAAATTTTAACTTTAGTATATCTTTTTATTTCTTTTGACCCTCATAAATTCCCTGGTGCTATGAAAACTCCTCTTACCTTTTGTATTCTCTATCAGTTCCCCATCTTTATCTACATTACGGCCCAAATAGGTGTACGACTTCATGTCTTGGAATGGGGTGCCATTAAGAGAAACCACGTTACAATTTGCCTGACTTATTCTCATTATCTTTGTCTTTCCTTTATGGATTTTCAGACCTAGCTGCTGTGATCGTGCATAAGTAAATTTAGTTTATCTTGCATCTGATTCAGTAAACAGGACAGAAAAGAAATATCATCCAGATCATCAAGCTGTTTTGTAGGGGTCCACTAAATTACAATCTTAGTGTCAGCAGTTACTGTCTTCATAATCCAGTCTACTGCCAGTCAAAATAGGGGAGGCGACAAAAGATATCCCTGTCGCAGACCTGTTTTTATTTCAAGTGTGTGTGTGTGTGTGCGCATGCGTGCGTGCCATGTTCTCTAACCAGTGGACAGCTGCAGTGATCGCCTCCACCTCCATTCTTAAACTGGATGTTGTGGTATATGCTAGGCTCTAATGTATCAAACTTTGACCATTAGCTTTGGGTAAGAATCCTCAAGTACTTCTTTTGCGTCCTTAGAGATGTAACACATTCTGCCAAGTATCTGGGGTATTTAATTTGCTTCAGTCACATAAAAGAGCTCCCTCAGACAATGAAATGACTGTTGGGTTTCTATAGGAGAGCGAGGAGAGACACCACAATAACCCAGGCACAAGGGACCCGTTAACTGCCACAATATGTTTGGCACAGTTTACATGTCCTCTCCTAACCACTGACACTGTCTGGGAATGTTCTGATACACTAGACTACTCAAAGTGTGATGTGATAAGTGTGATCAGTCTCTTTTTTATGGACAAACACATTGCAACAGCAGTGAATTGGTGATCAGTTACTCACTCAGTCTAACACTCCTGCCAACATTGGCAGTCTCCAGAACATGGGACAAAACACCCTGTTGAACTATGTACAAGATGGCTGCTACGGGCGACTCACGCCCGATCGCGCAGAGGCACCTGCCTGATGTGCAGTGACAGTCCTCTGACAGTTCTTGGTAAAAGGAATCCAGACTTCCCATCTGCTAATTAGTCGCTCATTTAAGAATCACTGATCGACCTCAAGTTAACCACAGCAATCCACATAACTAATTGACTCTGACCAGTTCCCGATACCTCCTAATCACAGCTCCATGCTGGCTAGCACACACAAAGTTACCACAGCACCTTCTGTTGCACTTAATGACACCTCTTCAACCAGCATGCCACATAGATGCAACTGTGCTAACCTCACACGCATGGCCGATAACAGGTCTATTTTAGAAAATCACTCTGACAAAATTCCAAAGTCCAACTCATGATCCATCACAGTCCTCCAGATAGTTCAGCCGAGCTTCAACAAAGTCCATGTGCCCATCGGACTTGAACAGTTTGCACACACACCAACACATTTAAAATGAATGAAGAGCGACTCCCTCAAGTAGCATGCACTACTGCCAGAAACTGCCAGCTCCATGTGGATCTCACATTCCCCACACAACTCTGGGTGTTTGCAGTTCCCCGTGAATACCAAGCAACCTCTGTTTCACAACTTTAAGTGGCTCAGTTGTTTACATGTACAACCCATCAACACAACATGCATGCCCATGTGTACCTGTGCTTCACAAAACCCAGGCTTCATTGTCTTTACACACCTCAGTGACTTTCGCATACAACAAACAGAAGACATGAGTTGCACCACAGACTTATAGTTGCCCACGTTGCCCATGGCCTTTTAATCTGAAAAACCACAGAAAAAATGAAAAGAAGAAGAAAAAACATAGAATATTCTACAGTCTGTGGATTGTATCATTAAATATTTTACAATTTGTAAAATGCTGCTTTTACTTAACTTAAGCTGTTCTCATTTCGTTCTGCTTATTCTTTTCCTACCCCCTTCTCCTTGGTTGCAGATTTCACCTGTCTCCATTCACATCTGTGATTGACCTTGACCTTCTCTTTCTAATTGGTGACTCCTAGTGTTTGCAGGTCTCCCTGTTTGTTGTCTCTCCAATATCTTCTTCGTCTGCCGAATGCTTTGTACCCATTCACCTCTTTTGTATATGCATTTTTTGGGAAGTACCTTTAACTTCTTTAATACTTGATTAATTAAATAATTTTAATAATGAAAATATTACCATTGTTAAGTTAAATAATGTGTATGTCCTAATAGCTGTCTCACAAGCAAAGACCCAGCCCCAACAGCCAAATGATGAAGTGTGTGATATATGCAAAGATTTGGTCACATCTCTGGAAAGTTTATTGAATGAAAACTCTACACAGGTAAGCAAATTTGGTTCTTAAATTTATATTTGAATAGTTGTCTTCATTGAATTGTGACTCTTTGATTTAAAAGTTGCTGAATGCTTTTAAGTGTTTCTTAATCCTTGAGTACAAGGGTATGATTTCTGAGTTTTTGTTTTTTTTTCTAAAGTCATTTCTTGTGATGTTGGCACATACATTTTTCTATTGCATTCGCCCATCCAGAAAACCAATGATGACATTAATGGTCAGAAAATTACATTCTGGTATCTTTACCTTTAGAGCATACTAGCTTGTTAACTTTCTCTTGGTCCATGTGTAAAACAAAAGTAAAGTAGACAGCTTTTCATGTCCTGCTGTAAGTTCTAGATATTGCGGACAGATATAAACTGCACATTGCAGAATTTAATGACTGGTATATTTCAGTGTATCTTATCAGTGAAAAGGCAAAGAAAATTAAATTGTATGGACATGTAAAAAGATTTAATGACCTCTCAGAAACAATACTGCAGGGCTCAGTAGAAGGAAGGAGGAGAACAGGCAGACCAAGAAAGACCTGGTTACAGAACCTGACTTACTGGACAGAGCTCAGGCATGCAACCATGAAGTCTAACGCAACTGACTGCCAAAGGTGGAGAAAGCTGATCAGTCAGTCAACAGTAACTGGTGACACAACGACACGTAGTGTTACAGGATGATGATGATGATATCAGGTGCATTACTATGTAGGTGTTTACTGAAACTGGGGGAAGCTGTGACAGTTAAAAATGAACAATGCCGCATTGATAAAGACTGATTGAAATGGTTAGTTGTATTTATGTGTCTTTTCCTGTAGATTTGTCAAAATTTGTAGTCATAGTTTATGTTAAGTCCTGCTTCCACATGCGAGTTCCGGGGCCCTCTTGGAGTGAGATAGAACTACTGCCCCCACCTAACCAATATGTCATAGAATTCTCCTTTGAAGTCAGAGCGCATCTGCCTGAGAGGCAAGGAACCAACAGTCTACATACAAATAAACCAGATGTGTAAAATGGATGTGCATGCAAAACTTAAATTCTGGAACAAGACTAAAGTCCAGAAGTGGATGAACAGCCAGAACTTTCTGCAGAATTCACAGCTATTGAATGCAAAGAAGAAGAATTCATGCCGAAGGCATCCTGCTGATTGTTTTCCCCTTGCTGATGTTGCAGTGAGTAGAGATCTTCTTGTGTTTTCTACAGACTGAAATCGAGGCTGTTCTAGATAAGGTGTGTAAGATACTGCCGACAAACTGGAGCCAGCAGTGTGTAATTATGGTTGAGACATATGAACCTCTGGTTGTTCAGTTGTTGATAGGAGAACTGCAGCCTGAAAAACTATGTAAGGTGCTCAGTTTTTGCCCACCCAGCAAGCATGGTAAGTTGTGTTTACATAATTAGGATTTGTGATATTTTATGTGGGTGTAAATATTTTGTGTGATATCTGGTGTGTATGTAAAATAAATGGGTGATATCTGATGTGGATGTAAATAAGATGTGCTTATCTGGTATGGTAGTAAATGAGATGTGTGACATCTGGTGTGGATGTGATTGAGATGTGTGATGTCTATTGAGGATTTAAATGAGATGTGCGATGTCTGGTGTGGATGTGAATGAAATGTGTGATGTCTGGTGTGGATGTGAATACGGTGTGTGATGTCTGATTTAGATGTGAATAAGATGTGTGATGTCTGGTGTGGATGTAAATGGGGTGTGTGAAAAACAGCTAGTTAGCAATGGTTTGGAGTAGATATAAATAAGATGTGTGATGTGTGTTGTAGATATAAATAAGATGTGTGATGTGTGTTGTAGATATAAATAAGATGTGTGATGTGTGTTGTGGATATAAATAATATGTGTGATGTGTGTTGTAGATATAAATAAAATGTGTGATGTCCAGTGTGGATGTGAATAAGATTTGAAATGTGAGGTGTGGATGTAAACAGAAAAAGAAGAAACAGACTTGCTACTTCTATAACATAGAGTCAGTGGGACACCTCCACACAGACTTTGGTTGTAGTTTATCTCTAGTAGTTTAAAATGACATGAATCTCTGATTTTCCAGGCAGTCTTGTTCTTGTTTTGTGGATATTGTAACTAGAAAGTCTTTAATAGCACATGAAAACAGAGATGAACTAATACAACTATTTAGAAAAAAAAATGTGTTTTGACATGTCAGGTGTAAAACTCCCAGTTTTTGGGGGAGATACAAATCGATACACTACTGCTTTTAACCAGCATTTCGTAAAAGGCAACTAATTCAGAATTTTTCTAAAATTGGATGTGTTAGTCTAATAGATACAGATATCAAAGCTTAGCTGTAAACAGCAATGATGTGTCAGCCACCAATTTAAGGTTGAAAACAGAAGAAAATGTAAAATATTAATCTTTAAGAGACATCCTGTTTACCAAATAAGTGATCAATGCACACAAAGCTAAAAAAAATTCTGCATTGAGAATGTCATACGGACTATGCTTTTCATTGAGCAGTTTATCAAGTGTGTATATGCTTTACATTGAGAATGTCATGTATAGTGCTTTACATTGAACATTTAATCAAATGTTTGCTTTACATTGAGAATTCCATCAAGATTCTGTTTTGATAATTCCATACATAGTATGCTTTACACTGAGAATTTCATCAAAAATAGACTTTACATTCAGTCTTGTACTGTATGCTACAGAAGCCCTGCCACATGTGGCAGCACCAGTGCTGAAGATGGCAGCACCTGAGGTGGGCAAGCAGAAGACAGAACTGTGTGCTCTGTGTGAGTCAGTGACGCTTCTTCTGGAGAATATTTTAAAGGAGAACGCCACACAGGTATTGTTTGTGAATGTGCATGTATTACTTTGTTCTCTCTCTCTTTCTCTCTCTCTTTCTCTCTCTCTCTCTCTTTCTCTCTCTCTCTCTTTTTTCTTTCTCTCTCTCTTTTTTCTCTCTCTCTCTCTGTGCATGGGGGGAGGGAAGGGGGGGGGGGGGGGGATTAAGAGAAAAATGTGACAGGTAGTTTAAATCCAGTTTTCCTGATCAGGTTTGAGAGAGGGAGGAGAATAGTAGCCAAAAATGCAAATGAGTTTGTTGGATTTGTTGTGGTGTGGGAATAGCTGATTGTGTAAATGGGGATGCTGGATTAGTGGGGGGGGGGGGGGGTGATTAGAGAATAAGTTCAATTAGAGAAAGTGAAATTTAAAAAAAGAAACGGGTGTGGAGGGGGCAATCTGGAAGAATTTCAGGGGGGAAAAACAGAGAAGACTTGTTGAAAATTTATTGGACTTAATTTTATGTGTTGTTTTGCTGCTTGTCTTCCCTCTAACATTCCTGTTGTCACGGCATACTCTATTATTTCCCTTCTGTCGACATACCAGCAATTGTGGATTTGCCATTTCTAATCATTGTAACCAGCTCTCTTTATGGGAAAATTTCTTTCAAGGTTGCTCCATTAACTCACTGTGTTGTGTTTTACAGCTAGGCTGTGATATCTGTGCCTTTGAGCTCAACATTTGTGATTTCAGCAAACTGAAATATTCAGCTTTTATGACATGTTTGTTAAAGGACAGCACATCTATTCTCTACACCCCCCCCCCCCCCCCCCCCCCAAATGGGGCCCTGGTTTCGGGTCCAGCAGATAGTTTTCTCAAGATGATGATAGCAGTGTGAACCTTTGGTTAAATGCATTTTTTTTCAGTGCTAAATAATAGTAATGATAAAAATGAATTTCATACATTTCAGGTCCTCTTGTGTTTCAATCCTTTGTCTGCCAATAGAGCATAGGCTCTCAACCAACTCACGCTGTCCTCCTATCCTTTGATAATGCCTGCAGCTCACCCTAAGTCTTACTCATATTTTCCAGTTAATTAAATATGGTTTTTCACTACTCGCAAATGACCAGGCCACACTGGCCATATTTTCTGAGGTGTACTTCTGTGTTCATCATTCTGCTATATAACTGTTGGGGTGCTAGTTAACTGGAAGGTGAATAATGGTAGCCTGTGTTGAAAAAAAAAAAGTAGGCGTTGACCTATCAGCTGATAGGACAGGATGAAAATAGGTGACTAGGCACAAATGAGACATCATGACAGAAGAATTCACTGGAAATTATAAAGCCTTGAGCAGACAGTTGCTAGTTATAGATTTAGTAAATTTCCAAGTGTGTGTTCTGGGGCCCCATTGTGGGGGAAAACAAGAACAGACCCACTGCCTCCTCAACAAGCATGTCATAAGAGTTGACTAATTAGGGGGTTTTCTTCAAAGTTGGAGTGCATCTGCCTGAGAGACAGGGAACCAACAGTCTGCATATAAATAAGATCTGCAAAATAGACGTTCATTCAACACTAAGGTCCTGCGGCAAGACTAAAGTCCAGAGGTGAGCGAACAGCTAGAACTTTTCACTGAAGTTAACAGCAGGTGAACGTGAAGATGAAGATTCAATAAGAGGTTAGCTATATCTCTGCTGTTTCCACATAAGTTCATGTTGATCCTTTGACTCTGCAATGATTCACTCTTATTTATCAAGATTAGTGAGGTGTTTTCTTTTAAACTGGAGTGCATCTACCAAAGACGCAAGGAACCAACAATCTGCATACAAAAAAAAACTAGATCTGTAAAATGGATGTGTATGCAGAACTCATTCTGGAACAAGACCAAGGTCCAGAAGTAGTTGAACAACCAAAACAAAGATACATTGCATAGAATATTCTTAATCTTTTGAAATGCTACATAATCCTAGTTTAAATAAAAAGGAAGGAGAACCTTAAGAAATATTTACCCTTGCACTGATTTTCCTAATTTCGAAAGTATAACTGGCATAACGTTTGTAACCACATCTCCAGGCTGAAATAGTCTCAGCTCTCGACAAGGTTTGTGATCTTCTGCCAGAGACGGACAAAGGGCCCTGTGTTGAGCTACTGCCACTTTATACTGGTTATGTTATTGACCTTATAAATCAGGAGCTGCCTGCAAAACTTGTGTGTAAACTCATCAAGGTCTGTGTGGATGATCAGATGAAAGGTGAGTCCAGGTTTAGGACAGATTTGTCTCTTCCTTTTCTTTTGTTGTACTGCTTGTGCCATAAAGCATCACAGAGTTGAGTTAGATGCAGTTTCCTTACTTTTGCTAGTTTTGTAGCCTTTGTTAATGTCCTATAGCGTTTTTTTTTTTTTTTTTGACATGTCACTTAGTTGTAAAACTTCCTGGGCCTAGTTTTTAGGGCAGAAACAAATCGGCACACTACTGCTTTTCACAAGCATGTCGTAAAAAGCAACTAATTCAGAATTTTTCTACAAACTTATCTGTTGAGCCAGTAGATGCAGATATCACAACCTAGCTTTAAACAGCAATTATGTGTCAGCCACCCTTTTAAGGCTGAAACAAAAATAAAAAATGTGAAATATTAATCTTTAAGAGACATCCTGTTTATCTTATAAGTGATCAGTGCACACAGAGCTATTTTTTTTTCTATCAAGTTTTTCCCCTGCAGGATTGCAGCCTGTAGAAGTACCATCTCCAGGATGAGAATTAAACAGGTAAAAATCCTGGAAACCTTGTTCAGCCATGTAGCATAGCTGTAGTGGGGGGGGGGGGGTGGCACTGAAAATGGTTTCGAAGTAACCGGTAGTCCAGTGTGGGTGAGTGTAGCGTGTAACTGGTAGTCCAGTGTGGGTGAGTGTAGTGTGTAACTGGTAGTCCAGTGTGGGTGAGTGTAGTGTGTAACTGGTAGTCCAGTGTGGGTGAGTGTAGCGTGTAACTGGTAGTCCAGTGTGGGTGAGTGTAGCGTGTAACTGGTAGTCCAGTTTGAGTGAGTGTAGTGTGTAACTGTTGGTCTTGTTTATTTGCGCCTCTTTCGTGGCTAAAGTTTTGGTATTTGTGCCGTCTCTGGGCTTAATGCTTCTTTCCTCCAAGTCAGACTGCTTATTCCCTATCCTGTTGTCAACTGTGTTCTTCTTGCCTATTCATTCTTGATGTTTCCTCCTTGGTTTCAGCTCCTTCTGATTTGGCCTGGCGTATTTCGTAGGAGAGCGAGCTTCTCCAAATAACGTCCCTTGGACCACCATTTATAGCTTTAAAATTTTGAGTATTTTACTTTGCCAAAAAGTACTGAAAACAGTTTTTGTGTTTGGATAGATCCGAAATGTGAAAATATTCTGTATATAACCACAGTGGTCTTATATTTGTCTTCCTGCAATAAGAATAGGTTAGTCATGTCATGGCAGGTGAAAGCAGCATCAGATGGCTTCACAGAATATTCAATGCAGCATGGGTACAACAAACGGCCCCTATTGATTGGCAACATGCAAAGTTATACCATTGTGGAAGAACAAAGGAAGCAAACGAGAATGCGGTCAATATCGAGGCATCTCTCTTTTAAGCCATGTTGGCAAAATGTATGCCAAGATAATAGAAACAAGACTGAGACCAGTGATAGAACCACAGCTGGCAGAAGAACAGATGGGATTTAGGAGAAATAGAAGCTGCACAGATGCAATCTTCACACTTGAACAGTTAATAGAAAAGAACATTGAATACAATAAGAACTTATTTGTGGCATTCGTAGACCAGGAGAAGGCATTTGACAGAGTCGACAGACAATTATTATGGAAAATAATGGCAAGATATGGAGTAAGCAAACACCTCATCGAAGTGTGCAAAAGTTTATACAGGGATTGTAGAAGTGTAGTTAGAATAAATCAGGGAACATCTCATCCTTTCACAGTGACATCTGGAGTAAGACACGGGTGTGTCTTATCACCACTGCTGTTTATCACCTACATCGACAGTATGTGCAAGAATGCCAAGCCCATGAATGAAGATCTTAGTAAGATCAACAAATTTCTCTTTGCAGATGACCAGGCCTTGATAGCAGATACAGCCATGAAATTGCAACAACATCTAACATCCATGAATGAAGAATGTAAAACAAATAATATGAGAATCAACACTGAAAAGACAGAAGTAATGTCAATGGGAAAAAAGAAGACAGATCTAAACATAGCAAGAGAATACAAAGGCATTAAACAGGCATCTGAGTTTAAATATCTGGGTACTACATTTACCGAAGATGGGAAATTGGATAAAGAAATTGACATTAGATGCAGTAAAGCAAACCAAGTATTGGGACAGCTAGCCCCCCTCTTACAGCATGACAATCCCAATCAGCACAAAGAGACATCTTATTTAAAGCATATTTATTCCAACTCTGTGCTACCAGTGCCAGACATGGTCACTCACAACAAACCATAAAAGAAAATTAGTAACCACGGAAATGAGATGTCTGAGAAGGGCTGTAGGAGTGACCATAAGAGATAAGATCAGGAATGAGATCATAAGAGAACAAGTCGGCACAGAACCGATTCTGGATTACATACAAAGACAGCAAGTGAAATGGTTTGCCCACTTAGAGAGAATGCCTTGTGACACTATACCATACAAAGCATACATGGAAAGAGAAGAAGGACGTAGAGCACGGGGTAGACCAAGAACAAGATGGAAGGATAACATCAGAGAAACTCTACAACAGCACGATGTGCTTATGGTCGAGGCAGCCAGAAGAGCTAGAAACAGAACCTTATATCTCCCTCGACACCCACAGTGGTAAAAGAGGAAGTGAAGAAGAGAAGAAGAAGAAGTCATGTCATGTAGAGGTGTGTGAAATGTTAGGTGAAGCCTCACAGTGATTCTATCCGTCATTTGTTATAGTGTGGTCCGATTGTACGTAAATACCAGATCTCTGGAATATCAAGCTCACGCTTTGAGATCCAAATGTTCGGTGATGAGGACTGTTCTGGCTTGTGGGGTACTGGGCTCAAGTGCTCTCTGGGATGGAGTATCTCCATATAGAACCACAGCGATCTTAACTTTCCCTCCTCCCTGTGACTGAAAACTGCGCTTCCCACAGTGAATCTATTATTGAGCATAAAAAGAGGTGTCATTGTCCTTGTAATGTAAATGTGTGCTTTACATTCAGAATGTCATAAAGAGTATGCTTTACGTTGATGTTGGCTTTAAATTGAGAATTCCATTCATATTTTGATTTGATAATTCCTTACAAAGTAAGCTTTACACTGAAAATGTCATCAGAAGTACGCTTTACATTCAGTCTTCTACTGTATGCTACAGGAGCCCTTCCACATGTGGCAGCACCAGTGCTCAGGGTGGCATCACCTGGGCTGACAAAGCAGCAGGAGACAGAACTGTGTCTTCTGTGTGAGTTATTGACGAGTGTTGTGGAGAAATTGTTAAAGGAGAACACCACAGAGGTATTGTTTGTGGATGTGCACGTTTTTATTTGTTCTCTCTCTCTCTCTCCTTTCTCTCTCTCTCCTTTCTCTCTCTCTCCTTTCTCTCTCTGTCTCTCTCTCTCTCTTTGTCTCTCTCTTTCTCTCTCTCTCCCTCCCCCCTCCCCCTTTCTTGTTGTTGTTGTTGTTTCATTTTTTTATTATTTAGAAGTTAGAGTGCCGCCCAGTAGTTTAAATCATAGTTTCTATGACCAGGCATGGGGGATGGGGAAGAATAGTAGCCAAGAGTGCAAATGAGTTTGTTGAATTTGTTGTGGGCGTGGGAATAGCCTATTGTGAAAATTGGGGATGCTGGATTGGTGGGGTGGGGAGGTTGATAGAGGCCTCAGGTGAGAAAGTAAAATTTAAAAAAAAAAGGTGGAGAATGGAGATGGGTGAATCTGGGAGAAATTAAGGGGGTGGGAGGGGGAGAGCAGAGAAGACTTGTTGAAAATTCATTGGACTTAGTTATATGTGTTGTTTTGCTGCTTGTCTTCCCTCTAATATTCCTGTTATCACAGCATACCCTACTGTTCTTCCTTCTGATGACATGCCAGAGAATGCCGTTTTTAATGTAAACAACCAGCTGTCTTTGTGGGATAATTTATTTCAAGACATGTCTGTTTAAATCACTGTGTTGTGGTTTACAGCTAGGCAGTAATATCTGTGCCTTTCAGCTCAACATTTATGATTCAGATCCTGAAATAGGTGGCTTTTATGACATGTTTATTAAAGGGTAGTGAATCTGTTTTCTACCCCCACTGCCCCCCCCCCTTTTTTTTTCTCCCCCTAATGGGGCCTTGTTTTCAAGTTTAGCAGAAAGTTTTCCTGAGGTAGAGGCAATGCAAAGTTTTACTGAAATGCATGTTTGTTTTTACTAAATAATAGTAATGATGAAAATGAACTGCATACATTTCAGGTTTTCTTCTTTTTTTTTTTGTCAGTAGAGCATAGGCTCTCAACCGACTCACAAGTCCTCCTATACTTAAATAAGGCCTGCAGCTCATTCTAATTTATTATCCAGTAAAATGGTGAAATTCTTGTTTTATTATCCAGTAAAATGGTGAAAATCATCCTTCATTGTCTAGTAAAATGGTTAAATTCTTGATTTATTATCAAGTAAAATGGTGAAATTCTTGCATTATTGTCTATAAAAATTTTGAAATTCTTTCTTTATTGTCCAGTGAAATGGTGAAATTCCTGATTTATTATCTAGTATAATTTTTATTATCCACTAAGATGGTGAAATTCTCAATTTATTGTGCAGTAAAATATGAAATTATTGATTTATTGTGCAATAAAATAACTCCTAAAAATGACAAACAGCCATGTAATACCAGGGTTAGTTTGCAAGTCCTTTAAGAATATGTAAGTTTTTAAAATTTTCAACAAAAGAAATATGGGCAAAACAATTTTTTTTTTACTGCAGTTAAACCTTGTTAATACCAAAAAAAACTCAGTTAATATGAAAAAAAATGGTGCCCTAGCAGTGAGGTAAATGTACTGTTACATGCATTAGTCTATGATTTGCAACCAAAAAAAAATATTTTTTAATCACACTGTTTAATTTTTCTGTCAGTTGGGATTTGTATTAACAAAGTTTTGCTGTATTCTCAACTGCTTTTATTAGAAATAAAAATTATCATTTTCTGAAAACAGTTTATTACATTTAAAAAAAAATGTGTGTCATATCTCATTTTGTCTGCCAATATTAAAAAAGAGGCAAAGCTGTGCAAAGTATGTAATATCCTGCTAGAAACCATAAACAATGATTAATAATTACCTTAGTGATGTTGTCACAGGGGAATATTCACATGGTATCTTACTACATTTCATCACATTGATATAGAAGCTCAAATTGTGATGCATTGCTCATTCTGTCTACCAACAGACAGATATAGAAGCAGCTTTGGACAAAGTGTGTGATGTCCTGTCAGCAACCATTAAGACTGAATGTGAAAGCTTTGTCGCCCTCTACCTGCCCTATGTTGTGGACCTGATTGTTCAAGAGTTGCCACCAAATCAGATTTGCCAGAAAATTCGATTTTGCAATGCCTCAATGGGCCAGGGTAAGAAATGTTTGCATAAGAAGCAAAGTACTCATTCTATTTAGGTCACTGAAATACTAGGTTTGCAGGCTGCATCCCGCTGGCTTCTCAAGGCATAGCCCATAAATGAGAGGCCCAGTATATGGAAGTGAGATTAAACTGTAGTGAGCAGAAGGTGATGATTTCGTGGATGGGCTTAGTATCAGAGCAGTTTATTTTGTCTCTGCATTTATGGAAGCTTTCTTGGATGGCAGGGAATGCTCATGTTCTGCCCCTGCCTTCTCTTGGGGGCTGACCAGCATTATGTCTTTGGGTGAATGCAGAAGGAGAAGAAATGTTGGCACATTTTATTTAAACCCAAAATCAGAAATAATGTTGAAGAAATTAAAAAATGTTTGTGAAATAGTGTTTCAGTTAAGTAGATCAAATGTGCAGAGGCATACCTCTGTAAACGTAGATACATGTCAGTGAAGATGCATTGGGTATAAAAGCACATAGGGCTTGAGAATTGGCTGGAGTAAGACTTTCAGGCAAGCCATGATAAGTATGGTTCTGTAAAGGACCTGCTGATGGATAATGATCAGATCAGATGTGTTGGAAGTTAGTTAGTTAGTTAGTTAGTTAGTTAGTTAGTTAGTTAGTTAGTTAGTTAGTTAGTTAGTTAGTTAGTTAGTTAGTTAGTTGGGTTATCCTCATTGCACTCCGGACATGTCCATAGGTGCTCAGATCCTCCCCTCAGTATGAACCCCAACGTCCGATGGCTAATAGTACCAGTTCTATGTTGATTAACAAGTCTTCTGGCGTGTCTGGTGTGCGTCTAGTTTTTTGCTGTGCCGATCTTAATTCCCAAGTCTGCCATTCTGGCGAGTGATGTGGATTCACTGCCACCAAAGTCCTCTATCCTTCCCATTTCTCTGAGGGCATTGATAATATCAGCATGATCCATAGGCTGACTGTCGGTAGTGATAGCGGATCCAGCCAACCTGTCAGCTCTTTTATTTCCATCGACGATGTTGGAAGTATCATCCCTCTTGTGACGTTCAGTAACTTTTGGCGTTGAACACACTCGCACACCTTACTGTAGTCTGTGAAACAAGTATGAAAGTATGTTATGTGAGAAGCATTCAGAAACTAATGCCCCACATTTTGTTCTCTTGTTCTCAGGGATTAATCAGTTTATGAACATAAAATGTTGCGCACTTCAAATTTGAAATGTCTGTGTTGTATGAAATTGCACCAAATCCTAACAAAAATATATTCTTCTTTATGTCCTCTTTTACCGCTTCGGATGTCGAGGGAGATATAAGGTCCTGCTTCGTGCTCTTCTTGCTGCTTCTACCATTGACACATCTGGTGCTATCGATTTTCTCTGATGTTATCTTCCCATTGTGTTCTTTGTCTACCTCTTGCTCTACGTCCTATTCCTGTTTTGATATACGCCTTTTATGGAATCGCATCAGAAGCCATTCTATCCAAATGGGCAAACTACGAAAAGACCAACTGTTAAAGTGACATGCGAAAGCAGTGTCAGTTACAAACAGAAAATTATTTTAGCATTTCTGGTTGCAGACAGAAAAAAAACTGTTGAACATTCATCAAAATGTATGCGCTGTATATGGAAGGAGTGCATTAGATGTGAGCACTGTTGGTCGCTGAGTTGAGAAAGTAAACCCTTTCCCCCCGACAATTCTAGAAAAAAAAACTATTGGTCGTGTCCCCGTTAGGATTCTTAAAAAAAGTAAAACTAAATTTTTTACACTGGTCACTAATAAGTTCGTTAAAAGTGAATTTGTGAACAATATAAAATCATTTTTCAATGTTTGTAAAGATATGTGAAAGAGGTAATCAATAAAAGTGTACGGAGCAAAGAATTACATTAAATGGAATACATTCTCTGGGGCCTTAAAAATAAAATTTTAAAAAAACCACACAAGTATCAAGTAATTCATTCCATGGCCCCATGACCTTTACCGCAGAGGCTTATGAGAAAATCATGGCTTTAAAACAGCCATTTAGCGCACCGGAGAACCACTCTAAATGCTACAGTTGGTTAATTTATCAGTAACCTGAACTCCCAAACATTTGTGCAGGCGTGAAATCAACCAGTTGCATTAACTATACATCTCGTAAACACGTCATGATAGGCAAATCGGAAAAGTGACATTTGTGGGGAATCGGACCCAACCGGATGTATCGGCTTTTCAAGGCAAAAGGGTTAGAGCTTCGGGAAGTGGAGAGGTAGATCTGAGAATGTTATTAATGATGTGAAGAAGTGGCTGTGTGATCATGATAAACACTGGGCCCGTATCTCCATGTTTTGTTTTAGTGTAAGGTATTACTAGTTGACAGAGGTAATATAGAAAATTAGGTTGTGTAGAGGATTTAATAAGGAGTGGCTGGCCCGCAAGAACACTGGGCTGTCATGCTGGAGATCTGGGTTTGAATCCTCGGTAAGGCTGGGGATTTTTTCTGTCGGGGGCAAAATAAAATAATCACCTGTACAGTTGTGGCGACAGCACTAGCTTCTGCCTTAAATCCTCAGGCTCAAAAGACTCCCCTGTCTACACTGCAAAAAGTGATATATAAAGGCAGTAATTAGCAGGGTTTTTTTTTTTTTTGGCAGAGGGTATAATGTCGGTATCTGTAGCTTAGGTGTTGTGAACGCGCTTCATAATGCCAAGGTTTCGGGTTTGAACCCAACCGCAGACGATTTGTCTTGCATTGGTTTCGACAGTAGTACCGAGTGCTGAGTGTTTAGAAAGCAATGGCAAACTACTAAACATAAAATTTGCTTACAAAAACCACAACAGCCAAAAAAATGCTGGGGTTGGTTCTGCAACATCCTGTATACACAACTAACTTTAAGAGGATATAATGAGTTATGTAGAGTGAACTTCTGACATTTTTGCATAAATTGTTATGAAAAAATTAGGGCTGTTACTTTCTGACTGCCCTTCAGGTGTGCTGTGTAAGATACTAACTGGTGCCTACCAATTTCAGTAGCAGGAAGATTTAAAGTCCCTCATTGTGTCAGTTAAAGGATCACACGGTTAACCCTTAGGAGACGGAGCCTTTTTGGAGTTTCAGTGTCAAGAAGACGAAGCCTTCAGGAGGGGATTCTTATAGTTTAAACACACAAAATTATAAAAAATAAAGTGTTTAATTAACATATACAAAACTGTATATATTCATGTAGGAAATTGAATGAACTAACATAATATTTATGAATAAAACTGAAATCTCAACATTTATTCAAATTAACTTAACTGATCTGCATAATTCATGCAAGCAATTGTTTAAAACTTGGGAACAAACATAACTAACCTGAACAATTTGGGTGCATTTTTTTATGGCCTTTCAGACCCGTCTGGCACATGGTTCTACTCATTTTCCTGCCTCCAGCTATGTTTTGGTTGCTGTGACACAACATTCCTTTTCGCCATTGTTGGGAACAGCTAACCCCAGAAAAAAATTGATGTAAAGTACCGAACACATTAAACTTTCTCGAAAGCCGTCAATGAACAGCCCACATGTGCAAGAAATGCAAGAAGCAGTCGGATTGGCTGGTACGAAAACCTGCCAGCCAATATCTAGGCTTCTATTATATAGGGCCGAACAATGGGCCCAGTCGTCCTTTTGGCTACTTTGCGTTAGGCCAATATTTCGCCTGCGTCGTCTCCAAAGGGTTAATCTTGGATCTCCTTTAGTGAAATGTACACTGTAACAAGGGGCTGAGCGAATTTGAAATTTCATTGAAAAGGATTCCTGTGTTCTTTGTTATATACTGGTGGGAACTTGGTAGTTATGCACCTGATTAAACGCAATAAATTGTGCCGTGCATCATTCATGTCTGCATTATTTGAAAGAAAATGAAGTGTTTGAGGTGTTTATTTCAGCATTGACGCTCAAACTGAATCTCCATGTGAACAAAGTATCTTCTGCAAAAGATGGAGAGAAGTGTACCATGTGCATCTATGTTTTTGAAGAACTTGATAAACTTTTAGTTGAAAAGTCATCAGAAGTGAGCTTTAGATTAGTTATTTTTTTAATGTTTGTTTTGCTTTTACTTCCTGATTTAAATTTGTTGATTCATTACTTTAATTTTTATATGCACTTTGCTTTGTGTAAAATTATAGACCAGTGTGTGAAATATTAGGAGCTGTCTTTGTGAACATTCTGTATGCTTTCGTGCAGATCCGAAGGTCTGGGATTGAAATCCATATGGAGCTGGATTTTTTCACAAAAAAGGACCTTGGCTCGTAGTTCAGCCCATCCTTTAATGGGTACTAGGTAAAGTCTTGAGAAGTATAGGCAGGCACCATCATGACCATATCACCCATCAATAGCTGATAGGTCCATTAAAATATTAATCTATCCTCATATCTCGATGCACAACTCATGTGATAAGGGACCTTTACTTTACATTATGTGAAATATGAAGTAAATGTATAGTTTGGCTTGGTAATTAGTGCTCTGGCCGAGAAATGGAGGCAGGCCAGAAAGAAACAGTTTGGCAAAGCCCACAGCTGCTACAGTCTGTTGTTCGCACTGCTCAAGGACATTCCAGGCTCAGATTGGACTCATCAGCTATTCTTCATACTAACAATCATCAATCTTTGACTACTTTTGAGTGCTAAATTTTCCTTATGAGTCTCTTTCCATACAGTTGGGGGGGGGGGGGGGGGGGGGGGGGGGGGGGGGGGGGGGGGGGGGGGGGGGGGAGGGGGACAGATTAGACCCCCTGTCTCTGTAACATGCATGTTGTAAGAGTCAGCTAACTATGTTTTCCTTCAGAGTTGGAGTGCGTCTGCCTGAGAGGCAAGAAATCAACTGTCTGCCTCCTGTGGAATGTCAGTATTTGTTCCCTCCTTCTCTGTGATATTCGAAGAAATTTTGTCCTGTCATCCAAATTGTAAAGGATGTAAGCATTATTGTCCATATAATCAGATTGCTAGCAGTAGCTTCAGTATTAGAACTCTGCACTGGTGGCTGAAGACAGAGCTCTTGTCAGAATGTCCCAAGCATTGTAGGTTCTTAACTCAGCTTAACCCAACTCAACAAGCATGTTATGCTGCCTTCGAAGAGAACTTTCTAAAGTAAAATTTTATTCATTTCATTTTTTCGAATTTTTATCACAATAGAAAAGAGTTATCTTTTCTTCTTCTTCTTCTTTGTTCACCAGCTATAAGCTCCGGCAGAAGGTCCTTTTTATTCGTTCATTTGGACTTTGGCTTTGTGCCAGGACTTAAGTTTTGTGTGCATATCTGTTTTACTGGCTTATTTGTGTGCAGGCCGCTCAGGCAAATGCAGTTGACTTCAGAGGAAGCCCTAAGTTAGTCAATTTCTATGAATGGTTTGTAGGTCTATTTTTGTTTTCCGCATGATAGTGCCCCGGAAACCCACGCAAAGAAATAATTTTTTTTTTAAACTAGGATATAATTGTCATCCATGCAGTTTTTATGCCCTAAATTATGTTCATTTGTTGTTTTTTTTTAAGGTTGAAATTGAAGCTGCTCTTAATCACATTTGTAACTATACGTCAACATACAAAGACCAGTGTAAGGTTTTTGTTGCATTGTATACACCTTTTGCCATTGACTTCATTGCTAAGAAGCTCACACCAGCACAGATTTGCAGTGAGGTTAGGCTCTGCATCAATGCTACTGGTGGTAAGTATTTTAATTGTCTTCGTCTCATACATATTTGTTGGCTTTAATGTCCACAAATATAACTTTAAGCTAATTAAGTCAAAGTTTAGAATTAAGAAATTAAAACTCCTTAGCTCAGTAATTACCAGGAGGGGCCATGTCAATAGGAAACTCGTTTTCAAATCCAGCTGCAACTCGCTGCAGCTTACTGCCGGTGTTCAAAACGGGGCGGTTCCCGGGGTTCACCCAGCCTCTAGGTAATGGGTACCAGAGTTAACACTCTGACGTAAATGGAGGAATTTCGCTGTAGCTGCGGACAGTGACACAGGCGGACAGTTTCTTATCAGCTGTACTTGTGGCAGAGTACTTATGGTTTATAACCGTGTGCGATGACGCTAGTTCACATCTACTAATTCAGGGTTTGCTGAGATCATAAATGTTGAGCTAAAAGGCACAGATATCATAGCTTAGCTGTAACCACAGCGCACTGTGTCCTTTTAAGGGCAAATGCAGAACAACAACAACAAGAGAAGACTTAAACAGTCATTACAGTCTGTTTAGAAACTCAGGCCTTTAGACTTCATTTATTATCCCTAGAAACATTGTACATAGCTAATTAACTTCTAGTGTATCTGAAAAAGATCTGAATTCTATTCAAACAATTTTATTGTGTATGCAGTGAGGCTGCATGCTCCAGTAAACATCAAGAAACTTCCCACTGGACCACAGTGTGCTCTGTGTGAATATATTGTCGAGTATTTGGACAAACTTCTTGCTCAGAATTCAACACAGGTAAAATCTTGATTGATTTATCTATTTTAATTGTTTTTCTTATCATTTTGGAATTTCAAAGGGTTTCTGACATTGGTGTGGGATGAAAGAGATTGGGGCCTGACCATACATTATTCCCACTGGTGTCAGTGTTGGCACAATCCATTGCTGTCAACCTTCATTATGGAGATGGCACCAGAAAAAATGTTTCTTTCATTTGAGTTTCAAACTATATATCTCATTGAGGGGACTTCAGATATGTGAACATTTCTTTGTTGGTACTGCTACATGATAAATATGAGAGAGTGGGGAATTGTGGTAGGTGAGAGTAGATCATTCTGACAGAGGTGAGAATGGAAAATTGTGACAGAGGTGTGATGAGAGAGTGGAGAATTGTGACAGAGATGAGATTAGAGAATGTGATGAGAGAGTGGAGAATTGTGGTAGGTGAGAGTGGATCATTCTGACAGAGGTGAGAATGGAGAATTGTGACAGAGGTGAAAATTGAGAATGTGATGAGAGAGTGGAGAATATGATGAGAGTGGAGAATTGTGACAGAGGTGAGAATGGAGAGTTTTTGCTGGGTGATGTGGCTGCTTTTACTTCCCAAGTCTTTACCTGGTACCCACTCAAGGCTTGGTTGACGTGGGAGTTGAGGTCAGTTTTAAAGGTTAAAAGGGGACTTGAAGCCCATGACCTTCCAATGCACAGGCAAGCGACACCTGATTTAAGCACAGCGCTTCTTAGTCACCTTCTACGACATACTTGTTAGGAAGCAGTGAAGGCCCGGGACTCAGGCAAAGAGGAGAGATGCTATTTTAATCTTCTTCTTTTTCTTTTTAGTAGCAATCAGCATCTGTAAACTCCTGCAGAAAAATTGTTTTATTCTGCTTTGGTCTTGTTCCAGAACTTAAGTTTTGAGTGCAAATCCATTTTACAGATCTGGCTTATTTGTCTGCAGCAATAATGATGCTGTTGTACTATCTGGACTTAATACTTGCCTCTGTTATGCTGTAAAGTCAGGACACAGGATAGTACAGTCGAAACAGGACAATTCTGTTGATACAGTTTATTGTGGTTACAGCAATAAGTCATTCAGTCGACGTTCATAGTTTTCCTTAGTTGTTGACACTTGCTCACGACTGACTGCCACGGCGGGATGACAACTAGACAATCGGTACAATTACCTGCCGGTCAGAATGTTCCATTTACTCGGGGTTTGGCATCTGAATCACAATAACAGAGATGTTCACAGTCACTAGACATTGCAATTTGAAATCAGTTCATTCCAGACATTCCTAGTTTTCAACTGCAGCATTTCATCAGTTCACAAATGATGTTCACCTCTGTCACACCAACGCAACCTGCCTCTCACATGATCAAAACACAGCTGACTCTACCTAACACAGCTAGCTGACTCTACCTCATCTCTCCGTTCAAAACTTTGGTTCCAATCTCACACTTTTTCCTTACACTTTTTTTACAGAACACAGGATATTCTGGACAGACTTTTCCTACGTGTCTCTTGTTTCCCTGGTCCTGTGACCTTGTCCCCTCATTTTAGAAACTCTCTGAGGGTTCCCTGGGAATTCCCATCATTACAGTCGGTACCTCGCCTTTCAAACAGATGTGTTCCGACTGTAAATGAAACACCCTTAAACAGTCGCCATTTATAACATGCTTGTTAGGGGACACAGTGGGTCTGTTCTTTGTCTTCCCCCAGCAGTGAGGCCCTAAACCCACATGTGAGGGAAGTTTTTAATTAACTGTAATTAATTGTTTGGGTCTGACAGCATTAAAATAAAATGAAAATGAAATACCTTATTCAGAGAAAGCACTTCGGGAGTGAACCCTAAGAAAAAATCTGGAGCTGGAATCTCTAAGCTAGTTCACCTGTGTTTACACTGCTGCTCTAGCAATTTCTGCAATGTCTTCAGCACCAGATTGTATTGGCACTTGCCCTTCCCCTTACCGGCAACAAAGAAAGGGGATGCCTGCTGCCTGGGCAATAGCCTGTACTCCAGTTGAACTTGCCCAGACCTGTGCCCTGGAGAGGCAGCGTCACTCAACTTGAATACTTTCCACATGTGCTGTATGAGACTTTGTCCCCGACCGAAAGAACACAAATGCCAACACTGCTGAAGCAAAGAGGTCTTTTCAAGTTGGGACATGTTTCTGGCTTGGAGAATGGTCGTGTTCCAAAGGATATCCAGTATTGTGACCTGGTAACAAGGAGAAGATCTGCAAGAAAGCCAGTGCTACGCCATAAGGGCATATGCACAAGTGACATGAAAGAAATCAACATTGACACAGCCTGGAATCATCTGTAGACCGACTTTTTTAAAGGTAGACAGTAAATAATGGACTGTCAAAGTGGGCAAGAGGCCAAGGGCAGCAAGCTATAGATGTCTGAGAGAAAACCAGCCTCAGAATGCTAGAGCATCAACATTTTTATGTGTACTGTATGACAGAGACTTCCATTCCTGCAATGGACTTTACAGTCATAGTAGAGGCTGTTCCCAAAATCACTGGCACAACTCTGCAGGGACTGATGATTGTCTACTTCATGAAAATAAAATTACATTAACATTTGAGCCTGAGTGTTTTAGTGTAGCATTTGGAAAAGACATACACTATTAAGAAAAATATATTGTGTTGTTAGATACAAATGAATGCAGAGTGAATTTCTTTGTACTGCATGAGTTTATTACCTTTATTGTGATACATTATTTATATGTTCTCTCTTTTTAGCAAGAAATTGAGACAGCCTTGGATCGAGTTTGCAGTTTGTTGCCATCAACTCTGACATCTGAGTGTGACTATTTTGTTCAACAGTACACCCCACAACTTCTGTTGTTTTGGCAAAATATCTCACCGGATCAGATCTGTAGTTATTTAAAGCTGTGTTCCAGCCAAGTGAAAGGTAAATGAGAAAATAAACTTGCAATGTTTTTTGATGACATGCCATCTGTGGAGAGTGGCTAGTTCACCCATAAAACAGCTTTGGTACTACTGCAGCTCAATAGTCTAGAAAAAGGGGAGAGGGGGAAATCTTATTCTACTTCTTTATGATTGGTTTGATGTACTCAAATTAGATTATCAGGTGGGTTGCCTCTGTGAATTATCATGTCATTTGTAGGGCCTTCGTGGTTCCCCATAGCTTGCAGAACACACTTGCTGTTAAGGTCAGTTTATCTTCATAGTTGTAAAGTATAGTGGGCAGCACACTTGCTGTTGAGGTCAATTTATCTTCATAGTTGTAAAGTATAGTAGGCAGCACACTTGCTGTTGAGGTCAATTTATCTTCATAGTTGTAAAGTATAGTAGGCAGCACACTTGCTGTTGAGGTCAATTTATCTTCATAGTTGTAAAGTATAGTAGGCAGCACACTTGCTGTTGAGGTCAGTTTATCTTCATAGTTGTAAAGTATAGTAGGCAGCACACTTGCTGTTGAGGTCAATTTATCTTCATAGTTGTAAAGTATTGTGGGCAGGCCTGCAGAATATGCTCAGGTGTTTGTGGTCCCATCTGACGTGCACACTGTCACACGTGCACATTTTTATACTTTTTTTTGGTCGCTGCTCTTCTACCATGGGGTATAGAGGTTTGCCAGAGAGATCATCAGACTTCTCTGTCAGCAGTTTTTTGTGTGTGGCTTTGTTCAATTCCAGTCCTGTATCAGTCATGAACTGTCAGTTGTCTTCCTAGCGAACCCTGGGTTGTCCTGCAGTCTGGTTTATTGGTTCTTGGCCTCCCATGTTTGCCATGATGTCAAATTCTCTCCCATTCTGCATATATGTCCAGACCATCATAACTATGGCTGATCTATTCGAGTTTGTAAGGCCTGAGTTTCAAGGTCATGATGTATTGTCTGATTGCAAACTTTGTCCCTTCTTGTCACTTGGACCACCTTTCTCAGATACCTCGTTTCTGAGGCTTGAAGCTGGCTGCTGTAAGCTGTTGTCATTTTAATCATTGCTGTCATTTATTATTTATTAATTTATACTTCGTGTTAAGTGGCAGGACAAAATTTAAAACATTCTACATTCTTTGGTCATGTCTTGAGAAGGAGACAATTGGAGTACTTTATGACAGTGGGAAAGCTAGAGGGGAAGAGAGGCAGAGGGAGACCAAGAGAGAAGACGCTAAACTGTCTACAGAGTTGATTGAAAGTACACGAGTCAGAAGGCTGTGGATAGATATGACCACCAGTGCCACACGATATGGACTTTGAGAAGAAGCAGTATATAGAAATTATCAGTATTCTATTCAACCAATTGTATTGTATATTCCAGTGAAGCCTCGTGCTCCAGTAAATATCAAGAAACTTACCGCTGGACCACAGTGTGCTCTGTGTGAATATATTGTCCAGTATTTGGACAAACTTCTTGCTCAGAATGCAACAAAGGTAAAAATCTTGATTCATTTATTTATTTTAATTGTTTTTTCCTTATCAATTTAGTTGCAATTTCAGGTGCATTTTCTGACATTGATGTAAATTGAAAGAGATTGGGGCCTCATTATACAGTATTCCTATTGATATCCATAATGGTACAGTCTGTTGCTGTCAATCTCCGTTGTGAATGCAGACCAAACATTGTTTTGTTTTTTTATTTGAGTTTAGAAGTAAATATCTCATTGCGGTGACTTCAAATATGTGATCATTTCTTTGTTGGTACTGCTACATGATGAACATATTTTTGACTGCTGTCTGAATTTGTGAACAGTTCCCGCCCAGGGGTTGGGGTTATCTATACTGGTGACTCTCTTTTGAGAAGCAGAAGAAGAGCATGGTGGTTCATAGCAAAGCAAATCGACAACACCTAGCGCAGAAAGCCTAAAATATGATATCACAACATCTAGTTTGAGAATGGAGATAGAGGCAGTCATTGCAACCTTCTGCTGGCTTTAGGACCAGCTGCATACACACATGCTGTGATTGTAACTGACCCGGAAAGCATGCTGAGAAAGGTGGAGACAGATAGGCACCACGCAGAGTGGCAAGCATCTCACCAGAGGTCCCAGGTAGTTAGCATCCTTTATATATTTTATCCAAGGCATGTAGATGCATTGGGAAATTAACAGGTAGACAGATTGTCTTCTTCTGCACCATTCAGTGGTCAATTTGTGCATTAGAAGCTAGATATTGTCAGGACCCTTTGGGAATGAGTGAACAGTGCGGAGGCATAATTAGAATATCATGGCCTGAAGAGAAGGATGCAACGGGGAGGAACCAGGTGTCACAGCAAAGATGCACACTGTTTAAAAAAATTTATTGTATTTGTAGATACACATGAATGCACAATGAATTTCTTGATACTGCATGAGTTTGTTACCTATGTTTTGATACATTATTTTTGTGTTTTCTCTTTTTAGCAAGAAATTGAGGCAGCCTTGGATCGCATGTGCAACTTGATGCCAACAACTTTGAAATCTGAATGTGTCAGTTTTGTTGACAACTACACCAGTATAATCCTGAAGCTTTTGGAGACTTTCCCACCGGATCAGATCTGTAGTTATTTAAAGCTGTGTTCCAGCCAAGTGAAAGGTAAATGAGAAAATAAACTTGCAATGTTTTTTGATGACATGGCATCTGTGGAGAGTGGCTAGTTCACCCATAGAACAGCTTTGGTACTTTTACAGCTAAATAGTGTGTGTGTGTGGGGAAAAAAAGGGGGGGGGGGGAGAGAGATCTTTTTTTTTTAACGATTGGTTTGATGTACTCAAATTTGATCATCAGGTGGGTTGCCTCTATGAATTAGCATGTCAGTTGTAGGTCCTTTGTTGTTCCCCATAGCTTGCAGAGCACACTTGCTGTTGAGGTCAGTTTGTCTTCATAGTTGTAAAGTATAGTGGGCAGGCCTGCAGAATATGCTCAGGTGTTTGTGGTCCCATCTGACGTGCACACTATGGGGCCTGTACATACTTTATTTAATCACATTGAAGCCTCGTTATATTGCCATTGACCTTGTCTCCTTGCAATAATTTAAGAAGTCTCCAGAATTTTTTTACTGACAGGTAATTTTAATGGGTTTTTCACTATGTTTTTTGCTGATGGTAATGTCTCTCATTTTTATTATACAAGAGTACACCTCAGAAAATATAGGCAGTGTGGCTTGGTCATTTGTGAGTAGTAAAAGCCAGAAATAATGAGATGAAAAATAGAAGGACATAGGTGAGCTGCATGTATTATCAAAGGATAGGAGGGGCTGGTGTGAGTTGGTTGAGAGCCTATGCTCTATTGGCAGACAAAGGGCTGAAACAGAAGAGAGCCTGAAATGTAAGCAATTCATTTTTATACTTTTTTGGTCGCTCCTCTTCTACCTTGGGGTGTAGAGGTTTGCCAGAGAGATCATCAGACTTCTCTGTCAGCAGTTTTGTGTGTAGCTTTGTTCAATTCCAGTCCTGTATCAGTCATGAACTGTCAGTTGTCTTCCTAGCGAACCCTGGGTTGTCCTACAGTCTGATTCATTGGTTCTTGGCCTCCCATGTCTGCCTTGGTGTCTAATTCTCTCCCATTCTGCATATATGTCCATACCATCATAACTGTGGCTAATCTATTCGAGTTTGTGAGGCCTGAGTTTCAAGGTCATGATGTATTGTCTGATTGCAAACTTTGTCCCTTCTTACCACTTGGACCACCTTTCTCAGATACCTCATTTCTGAGGCTTGAAGCTGACAGATGTAAGCTGTTGTCATTTTAATCATTGCTGTCATTTATTATTTATTAGTTGAAACTTGGCATTAAGTGGCAGGACAAAATTACAAACACTGAGGTGTCGGGAAGAACAAGTTTTTCAGCAGTCTGTTCAATGCTCAGTCTACGAAGGCTCAGATGGCTGGGTCACACCTGGAGAATGGAGGATGGCAGAGTCCCAAAGAACATCCTTTATGGTGAATTAAAGACAGGTAGAAGATATTGAGACCGACCTCTACGATATGAAGATGTGGGAAAATGAGACATGAATAATACAGGTATTGAGGTGGGCTCGAGGGAACAAAATGCCATGGACCGTGTTGTGTGGAGGGGACACATCAGGAAAGGGAATGAGAATAAAGAAATAAATTATTACAGAAAGGATGAAAGCTGAACATCTGAGAAGAAACAGACTAAACACAAATGATGGCAGCAACAGTCCTGAAATTCCATGCTATGATTGTGGAAGACTTTTCTTAATGCAGGCATGTCTTGCTAGTCACATTGACATCACCATAGGCTGTGAGTCCCGTGCCTCCTCATAGCACAATATAACACTATCGTCTGGTAAATGGTCAAAGTGCCCAAAAGAATGTATTTTGTTTACCACACGCACACACAAAATGCATTTCAGCAAAACTTCACATTGCCATCAACTTGAAAATACTGTCTGCTGGACCCAAAACTCAGGTCCCAGATTTGGGGGAAGGGTAGTAGAGAATAGATTCACTTCACTGTGCTCAGTGCAGCTTCCAAATAATCTTTTGCTAATCAACAAACTGTCCATGATTCACTTCCATATATCAGGATAGGATTTATATAGCTTTTCAGAATTCTCTTTCTTGTCTTAATTGACAAAGAAAGACTACAGAATTTCAGATACAAAAAAAGTTAATTAACACATATGTCATAAAAGCTGACTAATTAAAGGTTGTTTCTGGAAAATGAGGCAGAAGACGACCTCTGCAAAAGGTGAATGCGGGACATTGAAGTTGCATTGGCTATGAAAGCACACAGGGCTGGAAAATTGGCTAGGAAAATAGAGACTTTCAGGCATGCCTTAAAGAGAGTGATGTTCCGTAAAGTACATGCTGATTGATTGATTGAATTAAGGCTTGGTGAAATCATATATCTTGAGCTGAAAGGTACATATATCACAGCACAATGTTACCTTTTAAGAGCAAACGTGGAAGAGGAAAAACAACTAAAAGACTTTAGCACATTCCATTTAGAAAGTCAGGACTTGAAAATTCTGTAGTCTTTCTTTGTCAATTGAGACGAAAGAGAATTCTGAAAAGCTATATAAATCCCATCCTGATATATGGAAGTGAACCATGGACAGTTGGTTGATTAGCAAAAGATTATTTGGAAGCTGCGGAGATATGGTTTTATAGACGGACGATGAGAATATCTTGAACAAATAGAAAGAGTATTGAAGCTGACTTGAAAGAAACTGACTCAAGAAGAGAACTGATTGCCTACATAAGAGGGAGACAGTCTACATTCTTTGGTCATGTCTTGAGAAGGAGACAATTAGAGTACTTTGTGACAGTGGGAAAGCTAGAGGGGAAGAGAGGCAGAGGGAGACCAAGAGAGAAGACACTAAACTGTCTGACATCATGGCATAGAAGATCATCTGTGTCAGAGTTGATTGAAAGTACACGAGACAGAATGTTGTGGATAGACATGACCACTAGTGCCACACGGTATGGACTTTGAGAAGAAGCATTATATAGAAATTAGCAGTATTCTATTCAACCAGTTGTATTGTATATTCCAGTGAAGCCTCATGCTCCAGTAAACATCAAGAAACTTACCGCTGGACCACAGTGTGCTCTGTGTGAATATATTGTCCAGTATTTGGACTCACTTCTTGCTCAGAATGCAACAGAGGTAAAATCTTGATTCGTTTTGTTTTGTTTATCAATATTATGTTGCAATATCAGGTTCATTTTCTGACATTAGTTTAAGTTGAAAGATATTGGGGCCTCATCATACAGTATTCCTATTGACATCAGTGATGGTACAATCTGTTGCTGTCAACCTCCGCTGTGAATACAGACCAAACATTGTTGTTTTCTTTTATTTGAGTTTTGAAGTAACTATCTCATTGCGGTGACTTCAAATATGTGATCATTTCCTTTGTTGGTACTGCTACATGATGAACATCTTTTTGACTGCTGTCTGAATTTGTGAACAGTTCCCTCCCATTGGTTGTGGTTATCTATACCGATGACTCTCTTTTGAGAAGCAGAAGAAGAGCATGGTGGTTCATAGCAAAGCAAATTGACGATACTTAGCGCAGAAAGCCTAAAATGTGATATCACAACATCTAGTTTGAGAATGGAGATAGAGGCAGTCATTGCAACCTTCTACTGGCTTTAGAACCAGCTGCATATACACATGCTGTGCTTGTAACTGACTCGGAAAGCATGCTGAGAAAGGTGCAGACAGATAGGCACCAGGCAGAGTGGCAAGCATCTCACCAGAGGTCCCAGGTAGTTAGCATCCTTTGGATATTATTTTAAAGGCATGCAGATGTGTTGAAGTTGCTCTTGAAGTAAACCTCCCAAAGAGATGACCGCTAAGATACATAACATTCTTTTTAAAGTACTGCCAAAATGCGAACATCTGGCTTATCCAACTCTCTAAAGGTTTAATGAAAAGATATCAAAGCAAACAAAAACTAGAACCCTTCAGCCTCACATTATCCCAGACACAAAGTGGTGTGGGTTTGAAATTTGTTCATTAACCTTACCAGACCTGAGGCCCTGAACCTAACTGCCCCCTTTACCTGAGCTCCTGGGCATTAACGCAAAAAAAACCAACATGATATACACAAATAGTAATTACATGCAAACAAGTGGTTAGAAAAATGTCGAAACTTGGAGACTTTGTAGAAAATAGGTTAAACCTTTCATCTAGTGCCAATATTTCACCTTTGTGTGCTAATCCACCCAGCAGGATCAACCTTGTTTCACAAAGTGAATACCAGATTTTGCTTGTACTGTGAAAATCCTAGACCTACTTCACTTTCCTGTCGAAGTGCTTGGTTCATCAGCCGCTCGTTTTATTGTGAATTTTCAGAATTTTTTCACATCTAGGAAGACTATCGACGAGGTCTGATGAAGATTGGCTAGTTATTTTTAGTCTGTGATTCATCTTTTTCACGTCCTACGCAAATAGCTGAAAATTAGGGGCAGCGGTATAGCGTCAGGTTTAGAAATTTCAGGAAAATCTGGCCAGCGGTCTGGTAGGCTTAAGCTGGCTGCATAATATGTACTGTCTTCCTGTCTGTCAATCTATGTATTAAACTATTTTCTAAATTTTCTTGAATTTAAACAGAATCTTGTAAATATTTTAAATCAGTCATTAACTTTTTTGAATACCAGGCAGGTGTCGCTTTAACTCATTCTGCCTTTGGAAGTTGTTCTGTGTTTGCCCTTAAAAGGCTGGTTGGCATGCTATGCTGTGGTTAACAGTTAGGCTGCAGTATCTAGCTTTAAGCTCAACACATCCGATGTGAATAAAAAAGTAAACATCCTTTTTCTATGCCTTCAGGTGTATTAGGCATATAGGGCTAGAACTGTATTTTTTAGACCAGTCAACACTCGATGGGCGATATGGTCAGCATCATGTCAGCCGTCTTTAATTTCCAGGACTATACCTGGTACCCACTCAAGGCTCGACCTGAAAGCCGAGGTCATTTTTGGAAGAAAAAATGAGGGGGGTGGGGGGGGGCACACCCATGGCTTTCTGATCCACAGGCGAGCGACATCTGATTTAAACAAACCCCTTATTAGTCACCTTTTACGACATACTTGTTAGAGAGGCAGCCCCAATCACTCCCACCAATGGGATCCCAGTACCCCACTTTTTTACTTTAATCTTCTTCTTCTTATCATTCATCAGCATCATCATCCTGTAACACTGAGAGTCGTTGGGTCACCAGTTTCTGTAGACCGTCTGATCAGCTCTCTCCTCCTGTGGTGGTCAGTTGCAATGGACTTTGTGGTTGCATGCCTGGAGCCTGCCCAGACAATCACCAGCTGTTAACTCCTACAGAAAGTTCTGATTATTCTGCTTTGGTCTTGTTCCAGAACTTTAGTTTTGAGTGCACATCCATTTCACAGATCCGGCTTATTTGTGTACAGTGGTAGGTTGCCTTTCAGGCAGATGCACTCCGACTATAAAGGAAACACCCCTAATTAGTTGGCTTTCACAACATGCTTGTTAGATGGAGGCAGTTGGTCTATTCTTTGTCTTCCTCCAACAGTGAGGCCCCAAACTCAAATATAAGGAACGTTTTAATTAACTGTAATTAATTGTTTCGGTCTGACATAATCAGACTAATATGAAGAAAAAAAATACCTTATTTTGGGAAAGCACTTTGAGAGTAAAACCTGAGGAAAAATCATGGAGCTGGAATTCCTAAGATTCAGCGGTGTTTACACTGCTGCTCTGACAATTTTTGCAATGTCTTCGGTGCCAAGCTATATTGGCACTTTCTCTTTTCTTGGCATTGCTGGCAACATGGAGAGGGGGTACCTGCTACCTGGGCAACAGCCTGTACTTTAATTGAACATGCCCAGGCCTATGCCCTGGAGAGGCTACCACAGCGTCGCTCAACTTGAATAATTTCTACATGTGCAGTATGAGACACATTCATGATGTATCATGGCAAGACTTTGTCCCTAACTGAAAGAACAGGAATGCCAACACTGCACTGTCTACTGAAGCAATGTGGTCTGCACTAGTTGGCACATGTCTCTGTCTTGGAGGACGGTCATATTCCAAACTATCTCCTGTATGGTGAACTGGTAACAGGGATTAGATCTGCAGGAAGGCCACTACGCAAGGAGCATATGCAGACGTGACAGGAAAGATATTAATATTGACACAGACATTTGGGAGAGATTATCTGTGGACCAACTCTCTTGGAGGCAGACAGTCAAAGCATGCAAGAGGCAAAGTGCAGCAAGCTATAGATGTCTGAGAGAAAACCAGCCTCAGAATGATAGAACATCAATGTTTTTATGTGTACTGTATGACAGAGACTGCATTGCTGCATTGTACATTACAGTTACATGTATAGCAGATGTTGTTCCCAGAATCAGTGGCACAACTGTATGGTCCGCAGGGACTGACGATTGCTGACATCATGAAAATAAAATTTACATTGACATTAGAGGCTGAATGTTTTAGTGAAGCATTTGGAAAAGATGCACACTGTTGAAAAAAAGGTATTGTGTTTGTAGATACACATGAATGCACAATGAACTTCTTGATACTGCATGAGTTTGTTACCTATGTTTTGATACATTATTTATGTGTTTTCCCTTTTTAGCAAGAAATTGAGGCAGCCTTGGATCGCATGTGCAACTTGATGCCAACAACTTTGAAATCTGAATGTGTCAGTTTTGTTGACAACTACACCAGTATAATTCTGAAGCTTTTGGAGACTTTCCCACCGGATCAGATCTGTAGTTATTTAAAGCTGTGTTCCAGCCAAGTGAAAGGTAAGCCAGAAAATAAACTAGCAATGTTTTTTGATGACATGGCATCTTTGGAGAGTGGCCAATTCACCTATTTAACAGCTTTGATACTCTTGCAGTGTAGGGGGGGGGGGGGGGGGGGGAGATCTTCTTCTTTGCATTTCGTTTCATATGCTCCAGTTAGATTGTCAGGTCGGCTGCCTCTGTGAATTTGCATGTCAGTAACAGGTCTGTTGTGGTTCCCCATAGAGTGTATCTTTGTATTGCATTGGTTATTGTATGCAATGTATGTAATACAAGTTTATGTTATACAACTTTTTTTTTTAAATGTTTGTACGTTATTTGTTTTATATTTGTTGTTATCAGTTCCTAATATTAGAACTGATTTTTCTTCCTTGCTTTGAAGCTGCACCAAAGTCATTGCTGTTGGCCACTAAGAGTACTACAACAACCACACCTGCACCATACGTAGAGTACTGCAGCGCTTGTAAATTTGTTATGTACGATATTCAGACCGCATTGCGTTATCCTTTCTGGCAGGTAAGTTTCAGCATGCATTTATTGTGTACTAGGTTCTGGTTTTGGTAGACACAGTTTCACCTAGTTTCACTGCTGCATTCATGTTAACTGATTAAGTCTCTTATTGTCAATTGAAATTAATATTGATTTGGTTCAAAAAGGGAATTGTTAGGATTTTTTTATGAGACCTATGTTAAATGTTTTTTTTTTTTACAATTCCCAAAAATGTGTGAAGAGTGGAGAATTGGGTGAGATGGAGGGGCAAACAGTTTGTTTTTTTATTTATTGCTTTGGTTTTTTTTAAATCCCATGAAGTATGGTCTTCCTCTGCACCGATAGGGTTGCACAAAGCACATAACCCCAACAACAACCCCATAGATTTTCAAACCACATGCCCTCACAAACCGAAAGACAGAACCTCACACTGAACCCACGGCCTTCAGGGTTCAAGGCAAATTGCTTAACCATTTCACCACAGAAAGCCCCAATGGGAAGACACTAGTCTGGCTAAAGATGCTTCCCCTAGACTATATGTGAACTTTGCCACCTCAGGACTGCATGGTTTAGCACTTCTACAGCTTGCTTAGGAGGAATATACTGCTTGTCAATCTGAATGAAACCAAATCAGTACCAGCCCATACTTGATCAGTTTCTATGATGGAAACAAAATCAACCTCAATGAAAAGTAGATTTGTCAGATTCCAAATCAATTTGTCAGATTTCCAAATCAAACAGTCCTGATTGACAAAATAAACTTTGTGGAGAGAGAGCTTTCATCAGTCTTCCAAAAAAAAAGGTCAGTCTTATCTTCTTCATGTTCACTGGCTGTAAACTCCAGCTAAATCTTCAGTTGTTGTTCCACTCCTAGACTTATATCTTGATCCAGAACCTGAGTTTTGCCTGCACAACCATTTAAAAGATCTGGCTTAATTCTATGCAGATTGCTGTTCATTGCTTTTCAGGCAGATACACTTGCACTTTGACTTTGTAGGAAACCCCTAATTAGTCCACTTTTATGGCATGCTTGTTGGAGGAAGGGGGAAAGGCTGGATCTTTTCTTTATATCTCCAGAATGGGGATCATAAGTGAAATTGTTTGTTTTCTTTAACCTCTATCAGAAACAATCCAAAGCCATTTTGAGTTCCACGTGTGGCTATCTGAAGACTGGTCAAGCTCTGTGTGAACATCTTGTGGAAGAGAACTATGCATATATACTAAACATCCTAGATGGCTTCAATTTCCCCATGGAGTTTTGTCAGAAGATTGACTTTTGCGAGCCACCAGGTAAAGTCTGAAGTCTAGAGTTTAGTGTTTGGCATGTGAGAAAATTGATGAGAAGGTGGGAATATGAGGCAGATGAGAGTGGGATGAGATGGTAGATAATTGAGACAGGGGTGAGAGTGGAGAATGTGATGAGAGAGTGGAGAATTGTGACAGAGGTGAGAGTGGAGAATGAGAGAGTGGAGAATTGTGACAGAGGTGAGAGTGGAAAATGAGAGAGTGGAGAATTGTGGCAGAGGTAAGAGTGGAGAATGTGATGAGAGAGTGGAGAATTGTGACAGAGGTGAGAGTGGAGAATGTGATGAGAGAGTGGAGAATTGTGGTGGAGAATGAGAGAGTGGAGAATTGTGACAGAGGTGAGAGTGGAGAATGAGAGAGTGGAGAATTGTGACAGAGGTGAGAGTGGAGAATGTGATGAGAGAGTGGAGAATTGTGACAGAGGTGAGAGTGGAGAATGAGAGAGTGGAGAATTGTGACAGAGGTGAGAGTGGAGAATGAGATGAGAGAGTGGAGAATTGTGACAGAGGTGAGAGTGGAGAATGTGATGAGAGAGTGGAGAATTGTGACAGAGGTGAGAGTGGAGAATGAGAGAGTGGAGAATTGTGACAGAGGTAAGAGTGGAGAATGTGATGAGAGAGTGGAGAATTGTGACAGAGGTGAGAGTGGAGAATGAGATGAGAGAGTGGAGAATTGTGACAGATGTGAGAGTGGAGAATGTGATCTGAGAGTGGAGAATGTGATCTGAGAGTGGAGAATGTGATCTGAGAGTGGAGAACTATGACAGAGGTGAGAATGGAGAATGAGATAAGAGAGTGGAGAATTGTGACAGATGTGAGAATGGAGAATGTGATGAGAGACTGGAGTACTGTGAATGAGGTGAAAGTGGAGAATATGATTAAGAGAAATGGAGATTATGATAAGAGAAGAGGGTTAAGAGAGCTGTTGATCTTGTCAATCTTAATAAGTACAATTTATGTTGCAGCAAAACTTGACATTCCAGCAGATAATAAGAAACCTACTGGTGAACTACAGTGTGCCCTGTGTGATTACGTTGTGAAATATTTGGATTCCATGCTCACTCAGAATGCCACTGTGGTAAGTTAACATTCTGATTGTTTTTTTTTTTTTTTTTTTTTTTTTATTCAGTATGTTGTTGGTCACTTCATCACAGTCACTTAAGTGTAATTTTGGCGATTGTCACCTAGATGCACTTCAGGGCAGTTATTTGTCACTTTTAGGGGGTCTCCGTGGCGAAGTGGTCAAGCTGTTAGCCTCGCACTCTGTAGGTTTTGGGCTCAACTTATATCTGCACTGTTTATTTCATGAGTGTCATTTTTATGGAGATCCCTGGGATCGTCACCGGAGCTATGAAATTTGTGCTTTGTGGGACTCTTGAGGCCTGAGGCTAGTCATTCTGCAGACAGAGACCGAGCCATATTTGATAAAACCTGGTGCAGTGAAGTCAGTCCTTTTGACTTTTAGCTTAACTTTATTTGTCACCTGATGTCACACGTCACCGGTACCATCAGAATTGAAACTCTATGCTTGTTGCTGAAGATGGGGACAGAGCACTTAGGAGAATGTCTTGAGTGCTGTGATGTTTATTCTTAATTAACGTCAAACATGTGTCACCTTACAGTATGCCAAAGGCCCACGTGTGTATTCCTATTCTAATTAAGTTAAAATGAAGTAGTTTCAGGGAGCTGAAGTTTTCATTTGATCTGAATGTTCAGACAGGATTGTCTCAGAACAAAAATGATGCACTTAATTGACTGGGGTAGTGCTAACTATAATGCTGTATTTTTGTAAAGAAATATATATGATTTTATTTGGTCAAGTAGACTAATGTTTGTAGTATTATTTAAAAATAAAAATAAATATTTGTCATAGTTCTTGGCATATTGTTTTTGTTTAAGTCTTGGGGTACCAAGCACGTGGCTTAATGGTTTTCATTTCATCAGACAAATATTTAGTTTGAGCAGTAGAATGAATTCAGTTGAAACCTGGTTGGGGCTGAACAAGTGAACTTGTGGTATGAAGGGATTTGCTGCAGCACAGTGACTAAATATTTGGCAGTCTGCCTGAAGTTATTAGATTTAAGTCTGCATCCAAGTGGAATGTTTTTTTTTTTAAATAAGTGACTTTGTACCAGGAAATGACCTGGGAAGTAAAGAAGGTCGGTGTAGTGTTGGCTAGGCCCCATCACCTGTCAGCTGCTGATTAATCAGTACAAAAAAGAGGCTAGCCCCATTTGCCTGAGGAGGAGCGGCTAGATGAGCGGTTAGGAACTCTAGGCTCTCATGTGAGGGACCTAGGTTTTAATCCTCAGTAAGTTTCATAAGTTTTTTCTTATCTGGGGTGAAAATAAAATTCATACAGTCCTTGCACAATCTGCACAGTCTATGGTGACAGCACTAGCCATGCCGTCCTTATGTTCTTTTGTCTTCTTCACACTGGCCAGCCGTTACTCCGACAGAAAGTTCTGTTGTTCATCCACTTCTGGACTTTAGTCTTGTTCCAGAATATTAGTTTTGCATGCACATCCATTCTACAGATATGGCTTGTTTATATGCGGACTGTTGGTTCCTCACCTCCCAGGTAGGTGCACTCTGGAGGAAATACCTCTAATTAGTCAACTTTTACGAAATTGCTTGTTAGAGAGACAGTAGACCCCCCCCCCCCCCTCCCCCGAACCCCCCAAAAAATATATTTTCTAAATTGTCATAACACACTCCAGGTTTCCTTTCTCATGACATACCCCAAGAATGTGAATTGTCCTCAGCTTTTGCTTCTTCTTCTTCTTCTTCTTCTGTGTTCTCCCTTAAAATGACCGTTGGCATGCTGTGTTGTGGCTTACAGACTGTGAAATCTGTGCCTTTTGGCTTAACACTTCCCATTTTAGAAAAACCCTAATTAGTCTACTTTTACAACATGCTTGTTAGGGGACAGTAGGTCTGTTTTCACTGTTCCTCACTGGGACATTACCATCTACTGGGGCATTACCTTCTACTGGGACATTACCATCTACTGGGACATTACCTTCTACTGGGACATTACCTTCTACTGGGACATTACCTTCTACTGGGGCATTACCTTCTACTGGGACATTACCTTCTACTGGGACATTTTCTTCTACTGGGACATTTCCTTCTACTGGGACATTACTTTCTACTGGGACATTACCTTCTACTGGGACATTACCTTCTACTGGGACATTACCTTCTACTGGGGCATTATCGTCTACTGGGGCATTACCGTCTACTGGGGTATTACCGTCTACTGGGGCATTACCCTCTACTGGGGCATTACCTTCTACTGGGATATTACCTTCTACTGGGATATTACCTTCTTCTAATCTGCTTTTCTCCTATTTTCTATTATGAGCAAATATTGTGGTAACTTTTTTTTTATCATCGCGATCTTTGGAGTGGATTAAAAACAAATCACCTTGGCTCCACAGGTTGACCCAGCCTAAAATAGGTGCTGTAGTGTGTTTACAAAACTACTGGACGTAAATTTGCCTAGAAAAACCACAACAGCCAAAAAATGCTGGGGTTGGTTCTGCGACGTCCCGCAAAGGATACACAACTTTTAGTGCGTTCACAAATTTGTGCCAATCTTCAGGAAACTATGTTTCAGCTGCAGTGGAATATAAATGGATGAAATTATAAATATATATTTATTTCATTCTCACCGTTATGTCAAATTTATTTTGGCAGCCTAATAAGTCATTTGAAAAAAGCATTTTTGCTTATCCAGGTATATAAATAAATATGCTGCGATCCTTGCTGGTCTGCCTTTTAAGAGTTATATAGCACAAAGTTCACATGTAACTAATCGACCTTTCACAAAAAACACGTTTCTGGTCTTTTAAGTAAATTCCGAATAAGACCACAACTGTTGCACTGAAAGTGTGCCAGCATGCTACAAAGTATGTGGGCTGGCTCGTTTCTAAGTTCGTGAGAAGTTGTAAGGGGTAATTTATGTGGTTAGGGTTAGAGTAATTCCCAACAATACTGTCAATTTTGTTTTGTTATCTAACTTAAATTGTACAGGGGATAAAAATAACAAAGAAAATGTCTGTTTCAGTTTAACTGGGCAGCCTAAATGTTATTTATGCATGAAAAGTTGAAAGGAAAATGTGAGTCCATGCAAATCATCACATTCCCAGGATAAGTTATTATATCGCAGTTGTCGAAAATACAACGGCATGAATTTAAAAACACAATATAGGAAATGTCATAGGAAGTAGAAATAGCCAACATGATACTGACCACATAAGCCACAGAGTGCTGATTGGTCTTTCTTCTTTTTCTTCCTCTTCTTGTTAATTTTCACCAGCTGTAAACACCGGCAGGAAGTTCTGGTTGTTTATCCTCTTCTGGACTTTGGTCTTGATCCAGAACTTGAGTTTTATTGGCACATCTGTTTTACAGATCTGGCTTATTTGTATGCAGACTGTTGGTTCCTTGTCTCTCAAGAAGATGCACTCTGACTTTGAAGAAAACCCATAATTAGTCACCTCCTACGACAAGATTAGGGGTTCAGTGGGTCTATTTTTTATTCTCCACAATGGGGCCTTGGAACCCACAGGGGATTGGTCCGTACAGTTTGAGCCTAGTATGATGTGCCTGACGCCCTGTTGGCATATAGAGTCTTTTACTTACTTTACCTATTAATTAACTCTTTGGATACCAGGACCACCACATCATGCTGTGATTTATAAATGTTTTTAAATATTTATTTCTGAAAGAGTTAATTTCTTCGTTATGTCTTCGTTATGTCTTGTCTTACTGCTTATGCCATAATGCAGGACTTTTTGCTAGCCGTCCACAGGCAGAGGCCTAGCAAGCGCTTCCCAAATAATTGCTAGTAGTATTGTAACAATTATCTTTTTTATACTGGGACTTGACTTTCTGGCTCGCGACGATCCACATTTTCAACATCTTGACCCCTTGGGTAAGCTTAATTTAATAGCTATACCATAAAGCTTTGCAGAGAGAAGTTTCATGTAGTTTCCTGTCTTTTGCTGATTGCCTAGCTTGTGTTTCTGTAGTGGCTCCCTCCACCAATCTCTTTGTTGGTCAGCCTCTTTAAAAGTTAACACATTTGTTTTTTGTATTTCCTTATTACAGGAGCAAATTGAGGCAGCCTTGGATAAGCTGTGTAGTCTGGCACCAACGTCATTGAAAACTGAATGTGATGAATTTGTTGCTGAGTACACCCCTGATATCCTGAAGCATCTAAAGACTGTGTCACCAGATCAAGTCTGTAGTTACATGAGACTATGTTCCAGTCATGTGAAAGGTAGATAAATAATGCAATTTTTTTATTTTGATAAAAATGTTTATGCCGTTGCTAGTCTTGTCACTTCTTTCAGTACTTACTTTTTTTTCTAATTTAAATATTTTCTCTGTATGTTATTTTATAGTGTCTAAAAACACAATGAAAAAACAAGTAATATCCACATAAAAATTTCCTGTCATCTGACTGGACCCTTGAAACCATTCAGGAACTATCTCTAACTTAACCCTGGAACCCATTCAGGGACTCTCCCTCTCTCTCTCTCTCTCTCTCTCTCCCCCTCTCCCCCCCCCCCCTCTCTCTCTCTCTCTCTCTCTCTCTCTCTCTCTCTCTCTCTCTCTCTCTCTCTCTCTCTCTCTCTGACTGGACCCTGGAAACCATTCAGGGACTGTCTCTAACTTAACCCTGGAACCCATTAAGGGACTCTCTCAAACTGGACCCTGGAAATCATTCAGGGACTCTCTCTGTCTCTCTCTCTGTCTCACTCTCTCTCTCTCTCTCTCTCTCTCTCTCTCTCTCTCTCTCTCTCTCTCTCTCTCTCTCTCTCTGTCTCTCTCCCCCTCAGTGAAATCAGTGAAAACCCCATGATGAAAATTTAAGAGATGTGCTGGACTATGTTCCAGTCACATTGAGCAAAAATTGCATAGATTGAACATAATTGATAAAACAATACTGAGCCTTATGTAACATTTAATGGCACTACATGATAATGAATGAATTGGAAGCAAACAGCAGCAGTATGAGTCAGCAAACATTTATGAAGATTTCAGAGCATAAAGAAGGGTGTAGGACAAGGATGTGTACAATATAATGATTTGTTTTCATTACTGTGAGCATATGATGAGAACATACCAGTGATTGTGGTTAGACAGATAACCACAAGTCTCTGACACTAGCCCAATTATGTGACCTAGGAGTAAAGCCTAGACAAGCATGTCTGTGCTGTCTTGAAAGTCAGAATAGGAGGCTTGAAAGCCAACTACTCATGGCAAAATTCAGCAGAGGTACTTGAAGGTAGCTGGTGCATCAGGGCACTGAGAATGCATGTGCATACCATATGTGCTGTGGTGTTGATTGGGATACCATAACTATGGATGACAGTGGAGAAGAATCTAGTGGTAAAATCAAAGGAAATATAAAGAAAAACCATTTAAGAAGTAGCCGAGGAAATATAGTGCCTGAGTTTCTAAAATAAGGAAAGAAAGTAGGTTCCTCATTCATCTTGCACATGTTAAAGGTCCTTCTGCTGTTGCAACTCATAAAGAGTATGCTATGTATGACAACTGCACTGAGAAATTGCAACAAACTTTTAAGATATTTAATTTTTAATATGCATTTTTCTTCCCACATGTGGTCAGCAAGGGAAGACAATCACATTTATTTTGTAAGGACAAGACTCAAAGCTAGCTAAATTTGAATTAGAAATAAATTTTTTTTAAATGGTATCTGTTGTGAATATGAAGGCTTGTTTTTCTTCCTTGCTTTGAAGCTGCACCAAAGTCATTGCTGTTTGCCTCAGAGAGTACTACAACCACCACACCTGCACCATACGTAGAGTACTGCAGTGCTTGTAAATTTGCTTTGTACGATATTCAGACCGCCTTGCGTTATCCTTTCTGGCAGGTAAGTTTCAGCATGCATTTATTGAGTACTATGTTCTGGTTTTGGTAGATGCAGTTTCATCTGGTGGAAGCAGTTAGATCTGAAGAGAATAGTGTAGGAGGAGTGACCAGGAGATCTTGCCGATGCTTAATACTGAGAGGAAAGGCAAGGATGTTGAAGATGGGGATGGGGTGCTTATGGAAATGTCCTAAGCTCTATGATGTGGTTTGGTGACTAAACTAAATTCATCTCAGCTCAGCCTGGAGAGGTGAAGAGCAAGAGTGTTCTAGTTTCTGTTTATGTCAGGGGCGGTTATGTGAATCCTGTTAGTGCCTCACTGCATTTATATGCATGCACCTTGAACATGATCATTTCATAGTCATGTGATAAGTACTGACCAGTGAATAAAAGGCCATGTGATTATCTTCCCATCATGCATAGGTTCTGTTTCTGACCATTGAGAAAAGGGCTGGGTTGATCTAAAATCCATCTAGAAGTGTTGCAGCAACACTATCCCATGCGCCTCTCCTTTTGGTGTTCAATCAACATTTGTGGTACCCACTAACAACACACTTTCCAGTATTGCAGTTTTTTATAAACAACCTTTTTTTAACTGTCCCAGTTTACACATCAGATTCTTTCTCTTACCAACATATGCTTTAACAGTGGTTCACCTGTATTGCTGCATAAGTTTTGGCCGTGGTCTTTTTCTGTTGCAACAGTTTACACCATGACTTAACCTAGTCCCCACTGACTTCCACGCCCGTTAACCCTTGCACTTTCCCAGATACCATGTATTTGAGTGTTTAATGCCATAGCTTCACAACTATTTGACATACACTTATCATATTTTGTATTTTTTGCACCAAATTGAATAAAAAACAAATTTCAAGAATCTATAAATTGCGTAATCTTGTTGTACACCTAGTGGAGTCGTGCTTTTTTTTTTAATCTCCTTGACTTTCAGGTCGACCTAGCCTGAGTGGGTACCGGGTGCAGTCCCGGGAAGTAAAGGTGGCCGGTGTGATGCTGACCACATCACCCATCTTGTGCCAATTAGTCTATAAAAAATATAGGTCTAGCCCTATATTCCCTATACGCCTAAAGGCGTGGGAAAAGCGGCCTATATTTTTTTTTTTTTACTATTTACTTATAGTCTGACTTGAATTGTCAGGGGGAAAAAAAAGAAAGATTTTTTCTTAAACCAACATGGGAGCTCAGCCTAAAATTCATCAAAAATGTAACTGTAAGCACTACAGAATTGTTTCATTTAAAGAAACAAGGATAAATGAGTGGGCCAATAATGGCTTTAACTAAATTCATTGCAAATTGCTATTTTAACACGACGGCGAGCATTAAATGTTACAGTTGAAGAGTGTGCAATTATGGTAGCCAGACGTAAACGTCAGCCGATCACATAACATGTGATCGTGGTAGTAAGTGGGTAAGGCTGGTGAACCTGGAAGCCAAGGTCATTTTTGAAGAAGAAAAAAATAATTTCTCATTTCAGATTTGAATGCATGACATTTGGATTCTCAGGCGAACATCTAGCTACTACACCATGGCAGTTGTCACAGTAAAATTAACTGAATTACATTTTTTTAATCCAATCAGAAACAATCCAAAGCCATTTTGAGTTCCACGTGTGGCTATCTGAAGACTGGTCAAGCTCTGTGCCAACATATTGTGGAAGAGAACTATGCATACATACTAAACATCCTAGATGGCTTCAATTTCCCCATGGAGTTTTGTCAGAAGATTGACTTTTGCGAGCCACCAGGTAAAGTCTGAAGTCTAGAGTTTAGTGCTCGGCATGTGAGAAAATTGATGAGGTGGGAAAATTAGATGGGTGAGAGTGGATAATGGAATGAGATGGTAGATAACTGAGACAAGGGTGAGAGTGGAGAATGTGATAAGACAGTAAATAATTGTGACAGGGAAAGGAGTGAAAATGTGATGAAGATGTGGAGAATGTGATGTGAGAATAGAGTGGGAAAAGAGAGTGGAAGAATATGATGAGTAGAGAATGTGATGAGAGACAAGATTGTGACAGGGAAGAGAGTGGAGAATGTGATGAGAGAGTGGACAGTTATGACAGAGGTGAAAAGGGAGGATGTGATGAGAAATTAGAGAAATAAGACAGAGAGTATGGACTTGAGACAGGGGTAAGAGAATATGACAGTAGAGTAGAGAACTGCGACTGGGGTCAAAATGGATTTCATTTATTGTATTTGCCTCTGTCTCATTATCGCTTGGAGCTGGACTGGATGTCAGACCTTCACGGACCAGAACATACTGCACACACACACACACACACACATATATATTCCAGATTAAAGGACTTCTTTTTGCATTGTGAAACATTCTGAGCATATGATCCTAGTCCCTTATTTATATACTAATTGGCACTTGGTGGGTGATGGTACCATTGGCAGTAGAACTCTTTACTGGCTGCTGAATATAGGGATGGAGCACTTATGGGTATGTCTTGTGTGCTGCCATGTTGGTTCTGAACCCAGTTCAGCTTGGTGGATGATGTCAGCCATGTCATGCTGGCTGCCCTACCTACTCAGGAAAGTTCCTGGTATCCAATTTAGGCTTGGTCAAGCTGGAAAAAAAAAAATAACTTTCTCTCTAGGGATTGAACTTCTACTATCATCTTGGCAGGCAGGTTATGCCTCTGTGACTCATTATATGTAAATCATCATGCAGCTTATGCTTTACAGAACATTGCAATCCGGAAAGGTACTGGGCCAACTGCCAACTTCCGCGCCTCGTGGATTTTTGTCCCCGTCTCTACTGTCATGCTGGTTGTATTTAGTTTTGTCTTCATTTCAGCATTCTGAGCCCTTGAGGTTTATTACTGCAAATATCACCCACTTTCTGTTCATCTCAGTGGTTGGTCTTCTTTTTCTAATTAGTAACTCCAAGTATTTGTAGACCTGTCTGTATATCTCTCCACAATTTTCTTGGTCTGTCTGGTGGTTTAGTCACTTTTAACTCTTTTATTTTTTGCAGTTGTCTCTCTGTTATCTCCCATTCTTATTATATGCTCCAACCAGTTCAGTCTATTAGCCCTCGTGATGCCAGTAATTAGATTTATGTTTCAATACAAAATATTACTTCAACTGAGGTATTTTTCTTGCTTTTTAGTTTCATTTTTTTGTAAATTGATTGCCTATTATAAATTGATTGTTTGTCACTACAGCACAATTTGAAACAGAAACAAGTTGCTCAAGTTGCAAATCTGTTGTAAAGAGGCTGAAATTGCAGCCCCATCAGGTGACATCTACTGAAGAGATGAATGCACTTGCAGAATCCACTTGCAAAATGGCATCTTCACATGAAGCATTTCAGGTTTGTGGTTAATACTCTGCTTCCTCTTTGTTTTTCACTGATATCATTGTCATTATTTTTCTTCACTTCCTATTTTACTGCTTCAGGCATTGAGGAAGATATAACTTTCTGCTTCTTGCTTGCCTTGATCATAGACACATCATGCTGTTGTAGAGGTTTTCTATGTTATCTTGTTCTTGGTCTACCTCATCCTGTGCATCCTTCTTTTTTTTAAATGTATGCCTCATATGATATGGCATCACAAGGGATTCTCTCTAAGTGGGCAAACTATTTGATTTGCTGTTTTTGAATGTAATTTAGAATTGGCTAGGTGCCGACTTTTTCTCTTAGATCAAGTTTCCTGATTCTATCTCTTCTGGTCATTAATCATTGTCAATAATTGGCTCAGTCAGTCAATCATTCAGGTGCCATCTCCCCAGTGAAGGTTTGCTGGATGAAAGTGTAACATGGAGGGACATCATTATGTATCAGAATTCACTTGTTATTATTCCTCAAAATGATCCTCATACAAAAGCTTGAATCACTGAAAAATACAGTTTCTTCATTACTGGATTACCAAACATTTCTGAAACAAAATTTATGTCTGTAAGGATTACTTTTCAAGCAAAACACATATGAATGTATTTATTGAAGGGAGGAGGGGGGGGGGGGGGGGGGGTAGAGACTGCTGCCTGGTGTATTTATCTGTTTACAGCAGAAATGCAATGTTTGCTTCTTTCTGCCAACATATCTGACTTCTTCTCATCATTTGTTATTTGCATTTGCCTTCCTATTGTTAAGTCAGTGTCATTTTAACCCTGATAGTACACATGTACAAAAGACAAACTTCTGTCTTCTGCTATTACTGTTTGGATTGACCACTTGTGCTGTAAAGGTGGGGTCTTTTAAGCTTGACGGTTTAGGGTCACATGGCTAGTGCTGTTGCCACAGACTGTCCAAGTTAGGATTCTATTTTTGACCTGACCCAAAGAAAATAATAATTACCAACCCTACTGAGGATTTGAACCTGGGTCACCTCACCATAAATAAATAAATAAATGAGAAAATATACAGCAAAAGTATTGCTTCATCAAGATTGTCCAGTGATAAAAAAGTATGATCATCAAAATAGAATTAATTATTCAAACTTAAATCAAGACTTGCGTTGCTTTGCATGCTGTTTTATGTGTTCTTTTCTATTGCTTGTTTTTATAAACAGTGCCAGACACTTGTGAAGCAGCACATACCTCAGTTAGTGCAGCTCATGGCAAAGTATGAGGATTCAGCTTCAGTCTGTGAGGTAAATATACTTTTGTTAAATATACTATGATTGTCACATTATCATTCCACGATTGAAGGTTTTAAAAGTATTTTTATCATAGTTGGGGAGTCGCCATGGCCGAGCGGCTAGACGCTCACCCCGGATTAGAAGGTCAAGGGTTTGCTCCCTGGCGGAGCCGGACTTTTTTTCAAAAATGACCTTGGCTCCTAGGTTGACCCAGCCTTGAGTGGGTACCAGGTGCGGTCTCGGGAAGAAAAGGTGGCCGGCGTGATGCTGACCACATCACCCTGGCCGGCGTGATGCTGACCATATCACCCATCTTGTGCCGAATGGTCTATAAAATTATAGGTCTAGCCCTACATGCCTAAAGGAATGGAAAAGGGTCCTTTACTTTTACTTTATTACTGTATCACAGTTGTATTTGTGATGAAAATCAATTTTGCTGAACTAGAGACACAACCATAAGGGCTGTTTCTGTTGCAGTAGTCGCAGGGTATGAATGCAGATCATCCCTGGCATACTGGTTACAGTGTGTTGGAACAGTCCCTTTTTATTTATGTTTATTATAACTGAACATTTGTAAAGGTTGAGATGCTCAGCAGTGTGGATGAGGAAAGCAAGGGGAGACTACTACATTATATATCCCCCAGAAACTAACCAGAAACCAAAAGAGGACACATGGATATGAGTCATGGACTTTAGCACAATCATTGAAGAAGACAAATCAGAGCTTTTAAACTAAAATGCTACAGAAAAAATTCATAGAATACCATGGACGAAGAAGAAGAAAAACACTGACATCCTACATGATCTGAGCATTGAGGAGACTTGGCTCATAAACAGCATCCTGCCCCAAAAGCTGAAGTATTTTAGTTGAACGTCATGGTAGCCTGGGGAGAACGGTGATGGAGGGTGCAGTTCCCGCAAGACAGGGCAGGGGTAGACTTTCCGTGAAAGTGGATACAAGACATTGAAGCTGTATTGGCTGTGAAAGCACATAGGGCTGAAGAACTGGCAAGAAAAAAAAGAGAGACTTTCAAGCATGCTGTGTTGAGATCAATATTCTGTAAAAAACCTGCTGAATGAAAATATAATGTACCCACCGCCCTTTGAAGGGTGAACGCAAGCCTGCATAAGCGCACTTTTGAATAGATCAATCATTTTTATAAACATTAAACCGCTATTATTGTTTCTTTAATTATTACTTTATTTTTTATTTACATTTTGCAGTCATTGCATCAGCAATCAAAAGGTGGGCACAGATCTTTCAGCGCGCACACACACACACACATACATACATGGCAATAATGCTTGAAGTTGCAGTCATTGCATCAGCAATCAAGAGGCGGGCACAGATCTATCAGCGCGTGCGTGCGTGCGCACACACACACACACGCACTCATGCACACACACACCCACACACACACATGGCAATAAAGTTTAAAGCAGACAACTAGCAGGGTTGGCCATAAATATCCATACAAAGGTAAAATAGCCATATCACCAGGGCCATTACAAGCTTGAATCCAGCAGTACTGATATGTGTTCTTCCGCAGTGATGGACAGGCATGGAATGTTCTTTTTAAAACAATGGTAGTCATGTATATTATATAAATAAAAATAGGTGACATTAAAAAATGTTTATTGTTTCCTGTATGGAAGACCCCATCAGCGAACTCAACAGAAAGCAACATACAACAATTTTCTGTCTACGAACAGGACACTGCAGGCTCAACTACCAAATGCATAAAATAAAGATTGCACAGCCCCCACAGTGTGCCTGTGAAACAGGACCACAAACACCTGAACACATTCTGCAGACCTGCCCACTCTACATTCAACTTTGAAAAGACACCTGGCCTCAAGAGCAAAGTGTACACAGCAAGCTATGGGGAACCATGAAGGACCTGCTACTGACATGCGAGTTCATAGAGGCAACCCACCTGATGGTCTGATCTGAGCATATGAAACCAAACACAAAGAAGAAAAAGGAGAAGTACGGAATCTTATGGGACACTGTGTGAAAATGAAATAAGCATGTTACAAAATTAGCTTAAGGGCTGAAACAATTTATAATAATGAACAGAAACTCCAACTGTTGATTTGTAAACTCCTGTTTTCTCTTTCCTCTGCAGGCTGCTTCACTGTGCAAGAGTGCCTCCGTTAAAATGTTGTACAAGGTATTGCAGCCCTAAGGAGGCAAAGTCAACATGACACAAAGAGATATTTCTGACATTGTCACATCTGTAATGCCTCTAACTTTATAATACTGATATAAATATTCTAACATTGTTAATATAGATATTCCTTGTTTCTCTTATGACCATTTCAGTTGGGATTGTGTTAGGTTACAGTTTGCAGTAGTCTTTGCTGTACCAGTTATATTTTTGATTGAATATTTGACATAGAGCAGGGCTATTCAACTTGTGGCTCATGGGCCGGATCTGGCCTGCAGAAATCTAACAAGTGGCCCACGGATCACCTACCGGTTGTATTGTAATTATGATCTTTCTATGCTGGGACTCGAGTTTCTAGCCCACGGTGATCCTCATTTTCCCTAATTTTTGCCTCTTAAGTAAATTTAGTTGAAGGGCCCTGACATAGATCATAGTTGAATGGTAGTCATAGACCATAGTTGAATGGTACAGACAAAGACATTGTTGAATGGCCCTGGCATAAACCATAGTTGAATGCCTGACATAGAAAATTGTTGAATATTCCTGGCATAGACCATTGTTGAATGGTACAGACATAGATCATAGTTGAATGGCCCTGATACAGACTATAGTTGAATGGCCCTGACACAGACTGTAGTTGAATGGCCCTGACATAGACCATAGTTGAATGGCCCTTACATAGACCCTAGTTGAAGGGGACATAGACCATAGTTGAAGGGGACATAGACAATAGTTTAATGGTACAGACATAGACCATAGTTGAATGGTCCTGGCATAGACCATAGTTGAATATTTCTGGCATAGACCATTGTTGAATGGTACAGACATAGACCATATTTGAATGGCCCTGACATAGACCATAGTTGAATGACACTGACATAGACTATTTTTAACCAGGGTTGCACATGGTTTAATTAGACTTTCCTGAAGTAATTATTGTTTGTCAAAATTAGTTATGTACAATTTCTGGAGTTTAGTGATTCAAGGTTATATCTGATAAGTACTTTCTGCTTTAATTCTTAGGGACAAAATGCCAGTTGTATGAGAATGATACTCCTAAGCATTCCTTATAGGAAGCCTATAATGTTTATCTATTTCTGTTTTCTCCTGGCAAAATTAGTATGATAAACAATTACTTCCCGTCTTTTTTTAAACCTCTTCCATGCGCCTACGTCTGCATCACTACTTCATGTCTGCTTAGAAATTAAATTGGCTGGGAAATCACTTCCCTCCTGTTATCTTGATGTGCATGTGAAAACAACTTATGCTTTCTGAATATGATATTGATGTATATATATCAAATAACATTACAACTATCCCTGCAATTTTTTTTCTATTTTAGTGAAGTGTGTGTGTTGAATATTTTTATCAAATAATTTAACTAGAAATATTCCTGAAAATTGCTGTTTTTTTTTTTTTTTTAGTAAAATATGTGGTTGTATATTTTTACTTATGATAAATTGTGTGGTGTGTTATTTTCAGAAGTGTGATTAATAGCCATTTGTCATACATTCCTTAGATGTTTGAATCTGCGGAAGCTTAAACACATTACCTGCCCTCTATAAGAAGGCTGTTAATAGAGAGAAACTATGTGTATGGAACTTCTGCTTCCTATAATGCATGCCATGCAGTGTTGATTATCATGTTTCCAGAGCCTTCTTTGAGGTTAAATAAGTTTCTGTGATCAAGCGTGGTTTTATTGTCAGAATATGTAATCTCCTCCTGTGGATACCTGGGCCCCATTGTGGGGGAAACAATTGACCAACTGTCTCCTCAGCAAGCATGTCATAGGAGCTGATTAACTGGAGGCATTCTTCAGAGTCAGAGTAGATCTGCCTGAGAAGGAAATAACCAAAAAACTGCAAACGGATTAGCGGGGTCTGTAAAATGATGTGTGCGCGACACTCAGGTTCTGGAACAAGACCTAGGTCTAGAGGTATACAAACACCCAGAGCTTTCTTCAGGGGAGACAAACACCCAGAGCTTTCTTCAGGGGAGACCAACACCCAGAGCTTTCTTCAGGGGAGACAAACACCCAGAGCTTTCCTCAGGGGAGACCAACACCCAGAGCTTACCTCAGGAAAGACAAACACCCAGAGCTTTCCTTAGGGGAGACAAGCACCCAGAGCTTTCCTCAGGAGAGACAAAACACCCAGAGCTTTCCTCAGGGGAGACATAACACCCAGAGCTTTCCTCAGGGGAGACAAACACCAAGAGCTATCCTCAGGGGAATGTGAAGACGAAAGAAAGAAAGATGAAAATATACTGTCAATGTATCACTGTAGTAATGCACCTTATGTACAGCAGAATATGCTAGACAATAAATTATGCAGTGTATGTTTGTTTTGTGGTTCAGATTCACAATAATAACATAACCTAAACCATGGCCTGATAGAGGGTATCAACCAAAGCTCTAGCACACAAAACCCGCCATCTTTCTCTGTCTTCTGCTTGTGAAAAAAGTATATAGTCATTTAATCTTGTTCATTTTGCACAATTTTCATTCCAGGTTCTTCCCCCCCCCCCCTCCCCCCCTTCTCCCCCATTCATCTTTTCTTTTTTCTTCTTTAACTACTCCACATTGTTCACAGTTTACAGTACTTAACAATAGTGAAACATTGCTTTGATATTCTCAGTCTGTTGCAATTTCTTCCTGTGAGAACAGTGAACATACTGAATGTGTTCTAGTTGTTGTGTATGTAAAGTCATCATCTGCTAAAGTGATAACTTCTTCTTCTTAGCGTTCACTGGCAGATTCTCCAGGAGAAAGCTTTCCTTGTTCATCCACTTTTGAGCTTCCAGAACTTGCGTTTTGCTTGCACAACATTTTACCGGACTGGCTTATTTGTTTACCGACTGTTGATTCCTCCTTGTAGGCGGACGGGCTTAAAGGAAACACCTCTGATTAGTCACATTTTACATTTTGCTTGTTAAGAGGGCATTGAATCTATACTCCCCCCTAGAAAAATGGGCCTCAACCTACACAGGGAAAAGTGAGAAGATTGATGAGTTTTCCAGCTGCTCAGCACTTGTATCTATCGCCTGCCCTCTATGACCTCACATAACACTGATCGAAGGGTTAAACATTTATTTACTCTTTCCCTATCCACAAGATTTCTGTCATCTGGCGAGGTGGAGAAGGAGGTACCTTACATCTTCTTCTGATAATATTCACCCTGCCAGGATAGTAGAGTTGAAGCAACAGTTTAAAATAAATCATAACGCAATCAACAGTTTTCCAGTTTAACATGAATAAAATGTATACTTGGCTCCCAGCTTGACACAGCCTAAAATAGGTCTCACGTAGTGATCCTGGAAGCAACAGAGGCAAGTGTGATGTTGACCACCCATTGATCTAAAAAAATATAGGTTTACTATATGAAAAAGGTACTTTACTTACTTATTGTGTGTGGAATTTGACAAACTTGCTGAAATTTTATACCAAATTTGGTTGGATAGTGTAAATCCCTTGATTCTGCTTGACTCATTTTATTGAGACTCTTTAAATCTGATAGTTATTGAGATACATTTATTTATCTTGTTTCGCTGTTTTTTCTTGTGATAATTTATAATCACTCTACTCAGGTAGACATAGATGATGATAACAGAGAAATATGCTTCCTCGTTTACCACTTTAGATGTTGAGGGAGTTATAATGTTCTGCCTTTTGCTCTTCTGGCCACCTCAGTCATAGACTCATTGTGCTGTTGTAGAGTTTCTCTCATGTTATCTTTCAAGCACCTGTGGTTATACTTAATGTGCAATGCAGATGATCCTGAAACAAACAATGATCATTGAATAACTGCTTCTGTCAAACGTGTAGGAGCAAGCAGAAATGGAGAAAAAAGGATGATGATGATGGAAGTTAAAGGTCATGTCTTTTAAAGAAACCCTGACTACGAATGAACTGCTGTTGCATTGACTCCGGAAGGAAGACAGTCTCTTTAATAAATTGATAAACAACTTGGAAGCTAATTTTTCCTAAATGGAAATACTTGGAAGAAGAAGCGTTTAACTTGAGGTGGTATTTACCAACCAGAGTGGACTTCTGTGTTGCCATTAAACAAATTCCACTAGACATCTTCTGCTTCTTTTGTTGTCTCACTGATACCAGGTTGAAGCCTAGTGCCGTAGATTTTTGTATTATTTCTCAGGTGGCTTGGGTGGTGCTAAACATGTAGATCACTGGGAACTAACTTCTTCATTCAGGGACTCAAGACCCAGTCATGCCTGGTAATGTAGCATGATATGATTGTCATTATTCTCAAACAATAAAAGCTCTGCTCACAGATGTTTCCTTGTTTAAATGATTTGTTGTAATCAGTAATTCACTGCTACGTAACATTAAAATTGTGCTGTATTTTGATATTAATAAACTGTTTAAAATCACCACTGATTACTGACATGAGGGCTTACCGGTGAATAGACTGCAGGCTAACCCCCACCCAGTCTAGATTACAGGTTATTTCATAAGCTTTTGGTGGTACCCCCAATACAACTGTGAATGTATAAATATGAATACAGAAGGCAAGAGGAGCTTTCATGGCACTAGCAAATTTGTTGAAGTCAAAAGAAATTAAAACTAAAACTAAACTTACAACTTTTAATTCCAACACCAAATCAGTACTGTTGTATGGAGTGGAAACATGGAGAACATACTAAGGTAATTACTAATACACTACAAACATTCATTGACTGATGCCTGAGCAGAATAGAGGGAATTAAATGGGATGATAGAATCACTAATGTAGAGCTTTGGGAGAAAACTGAACAAGTTCCAGTGGACCAGGAGATGAAGAAAAGACAACTGGCGTTGGATAATGCACACATTGAGAAAACCTGAGAACAATATAACTAGAATGTCTTTGCACTGGAACCCACAGAGGCATAGAAATAAAGACCTAAAAACATAAGGAGAAGAGAGATAGAGACTGAAGTTGAAAAGATGACAAGGTAAGCTGCATTCAAAATTGTAAGTGAATAGCCACAAACAGAGAGTTAATAGCTACAAACAATGA